CCTAGCTCGATTCAGTGCTCTGAGCCCAAGTCAGCAAAATGTTGCAGGACCACCACAGATGTCAATGTCTGAGGGAAGGCACCTTCTGTGGGTGCAAAACAGGGTGTCTGGGACCTCCCCAAAGCCCCTGTTCTCTTTATGAATCAACTCTTTCCTCTTTGGGTAGGTTACCTCAGTTGTGGGATGGGTACCAGAGCTCAGGGCTCAGAGTGGCAGGATTTCTTTTGCCTTCTTCAGTCTGGGTTCTTTCTTCCTAACCCTTAAGTGCCATATGCTTTCTGAGGGATTGCAGAGGAGGGAACTCACCCATTTCACAGGAGACCAGGGAAGCTCCTGAGTTTACTTAGTCCTCCTTGTTATTCCAGACAGAAAGATTTAAATCCAGAAGGCAAGAACCGTTCTAGACAACACAGCAGGCCCAGGGTGGAACCAGAACCAAGGACTCATGACTCCCATACCAGGGGGACTCCATCACAGACCCTGCACACTAGGACCCCTGGCCAGAGACGACAGTGGAGCTCTCTGGAGGATTCCCCCAAAGGTCTATGGGTAGGGCGCTGCCTTCCCTCTCTGAGCTCAGGCTCTGCTCTCATTAGCTTTACCTGCTCCTATCACCACCGCATCGTACTCGGCCTTCAGGTGCCCCTCAGCTCCCGACTGAGTTCGTTTCCAAGCAGGGCAGGGAGAAGAGTGCAAAGCTCTGCTGAGACCTCGGAGGCTGGCAGCCATTTCTGCCCCCAGCGATTTGCTTGCAGTCTGCTTTCCAGCGGGCCAGGCAGGGGGAGGGACTAGGAGTTACTGTGTCAGCCTTGGCCTAGGGCCACAATTCCTAGGGCTTGGGCTTCTGCTGCTCTGAGTTTGCTCGCGCTAGACTTGGGAAGGGGGCGGGTAGCTTAAGTATATCATCAGAGTCTGTGCTACCTCCAGTACTCAAGGGAGCAAGGACCAAAGTGAGAACAGTTGAATAGGTTCTCTGGGGCCCAGGGGTGGGATGGAAGACGGCAGGAGGGAGGGGTGGAGCCAAATCAGAGCCCCCACCCCCCTTCCCTGTGTCTCCTTCCCAGTAAGGGCTTGGTGCGGGGCAGAGATCATGCCCTGTGGGAGGGGCACAGTCAAGTCAGATTTCACTCCTTGCAGGGTAGAGTCCGATCTTGCAAGGTGGCAGCTGCTCGTTGAGGCGGGAACCTCCACAACCACCTTTCAGTACAACTAGGGTCAGGGCCTTTGGTCAACGGAAAAGACCACCTACTTCCCTGAGAGCCCCAGTGAGACTAGTCTTGCTGGGGGAAGGGCAATTACACTCTCATGATTCTTGAGGGTTACTCCTTTGAAATTCTGGGTAGTTTTGTTTTCGTACCTTTCACGTTTTCCAAGGATTCTCAAGGATTCGAACTCACACCTGCAAATCACCGCAACTAGTGTGCTTCCTTGCTACCCTGTCCTGTCCTATCTCGAATGGGGGATCCCTTTGTATCTGTCCACTCCTCAGGAGTCAGTCCGTTGCGGGAGAAGGCACCAGGAGCGGAGAGTGCCACAATCTGAGCTGGGCAACCCAGGGGAGTCAGAGCCACCCCCTAAGAAGAAGACAGACACGGGGAGGGGGCCATAGCTAGATAATATAGACTGTGAACTTTCAAGATGGTTGGCTTCCGGCCGCCTCAATTCCTGGCTTAAAACAAAATCCTGACAAGGACTTTTCTCTGTCTGACCAGAATGACAAGTTCAAGACCAGTCCAGGCCCTGTTTACCCTAAAGTTGTGGCTCTCTCAGCCTCCCGGCCCTATTTTTGCCCAAACTGACCACCCCTAAATTGGCAGAGGAAGCTCCCTCCATCACCCTTAAAGCCCCCAGGCCTTGGGTTTCCCGAGAGCCCCCTCTACTTTGCAGAGTGTCTTTTCTCTGTGGGTCTTGCTCCGGTATGTTTCTGCATCACCGATAAAAGCCCTCTTCACCAGGTGATTCTGTCTGCTGCTGTTTGCTGTGTTTGAGAGTTTATTTCTCTGATACCTGTGGCTCTCAAGATTGTTTTCCTGCCTTTTAAGTCTTTAGCTGTCAGAGAAAATGAACCAGATCAAGGCCCCTGGATGTTAATGGGAACCGAACCGTGTCAGAAATGACTCGAACCCAGAAGCTTGGAAAGGATGGCTGAGTAAGAGGGTTTCTGAGAACCTGTGACTTTCAACAGGGTGTCACTCTGTACACCAGGAAGGTTTACACTGCCCATGAATCTCTCCTGAAACCTGAGTCTGAAGCCCCTCCCTCCACACCAATGGTACACCTTTTACTTAAAGGACTTGAGCATCTGCAGAGTTTGGTATCTCCAGGGAGTCCTGGAATACATCACATAGGTAGACACCCAGGGATGATAGTTTTATGATAAAGCTTGGGGGAGGGGGCTTGGCAGATTCCATGGCAGTCAAGGGTGACTGAGGTAGGGGACAAGCATGCCAGGAAGACAGAGCTTAGTGAGGAGTTTTATTAGAAAGGGCAAGGCAGGGGAGGAGGAAAGAAAAGAGTTACACACACACACACATACACACACAGAGAGAGATAGAGAGAGAGAGAGAGAGAGAGAGAGAGAGAGAGAGAGAGAGAGAGAGAGAGAGAGAGAGAGAGAAACAGGAAAAATCCTATTTACCTTAGGGAACAGCAGGAAAGAGAGAGGGAAAAAGTGTAAGTGGGCAGGGGTCTTTCTTTCTTTTTTTTTTTTTTTTGGTTTTTCGAGACAGGGTTTCTCTGTGGCTTTGGATGCTGTCCTGGAACTCACTTTGTAGACCAGGCTGGCCTCGAACTCACAGAGATCCGCCTGCCTCTGCCTCCCGAGTGCTGGGATTAAAGGCGTGCGCCACCACCGCCCGGCTGGGTCTTTCTTTCAAAGGGGTCTTTTGCACCGAGACTGACCAGGGTACTGTCTGAGTGCATCCTGCTAGGTGACAGGCGTAGGCTAGCATAATGCCTGAATTCTTACAGATAGTCTAGAAAAGTCATGGGTATTGGTTAAACTAGATACTTCATACCATGTGGCTACTAAAACTTAAGAGGAAACTTTTATATTTTTAAAGTGGGTATCCTAGGGGCTTGGAGATAGCCCAGTTGATCAAGTGATTTGCCACACAGTCATGATAATGCAGAGCCCACAAAACAAACAAACAAAAAACCCAGGAGTGGTAGCTCTCATGCACTTGTAACCCCAGTGTTCCTAGCTTCATCAGTGAGGCTGACCTCTGGTCTCAGGCACACATGTGCACCTTCCCCACCCATAACATGGACATCCTAAACAGTAGTGGGTTGTAGGCAAAGTTCTTTTGAATGTTTTGATGTTTTTCTTTTCTTTTTTTTTCTTCAGGCTTTCAAAAGCACAGTATTAAAGAGGACCAAAGAAAGTGCTTCTCACTGTCACCTGTTGAGGACTTCATTTTCAGTGTCTGTTCTGTGCCCAAATTCCAAACCCCCAAATCACCAAGAGACCCATTCCGATGCAAAAGCAAGAGTTATTTTATTGTTTAACCAGTTAACTGTCTTGGTTCCCTCTTCCATCCAACACAGTGGTTGCCGTGAGAAGCACCTGGAGGAGCTGAGAGGCAGGGGATTTATTGGGTAGAGCAAGGGGAGTGTGTGGAGTCTCAGGCTCAGTGGTGCACTTCCAGGCTTGGGCCATCTGTCCTTTGTTGATTGGTGAACTGGTTGCTATGGCCTATATGCCCTCCCAGGGCAGTTACTATGCTCTGCATGCCACTGTTATGTCACTTTTGACATAAAGCATGTCCAGAACCCATAAAGCATGCCCAGAGTCCGCCAGCTAACTTCTGATTGGCTCCTTGCCACATGGAGGGTATCTGACCTCCTAGTGACTAGGAGGTTGGGTAAGGTCAGGAAGCTCAGCACATTTTGATGAGTAAGAGGCCTACATCTTGCTGTATCTTTTCTTTAGCCTTTCATGGCTGCTAACGCAGGGGGCTGGGTGAGGGTCTGGTCCCATCAGACTGACACCTGAGACTGGGCTTTGCACTCATCAGGGCACCAACCACTTTCCATAGAGGATACACATTTCTACCATGAATTTCCCTCCATCCAGAAGCAGAGATTTGCCTGCAGGTGGTCTCTGGTCCTTGTGTCTATCCTGGAGTAGGTATCTCTTGGTTAGAAGGGAGGGCTGTGTGTTGCAGACCGTCTGTATTAGCCCCACGTTCCAGGGGCCATTTATCACAAACATGTTTTCAGGGCTGCAACTGGAACCAGCCAAACAACCCTGGGCCTGACCTTGAGTGGAGAAGTGTGGACAAGGGAAGGCTAACTATCCAACGTTAAAGACAAGACAGAGACACCTGGTCATATCAGGAGGGCAATCAGTTAATACTGAAGGCCATGGTTTATTGTTGCATCATCTTAAGTAATCATCCAAAGGTGGGGACAATGGCAGAAGACATCTATTACCATGTATAAAGGGCTGATAGCAAATATTTCCCTTAGTCCTAGAGACGCTCCTTTGCTGCAAGTATTTAAGCCCTCAGGTACCCCACACCAGCATGTCTCACTAGCCTTCAGGGTGGGTATAGACTGCCCTGGCCCAAGGCTATTGTTATTTATAATAGGAGCAATTCCCCATTGAGGCCAGGCCATCCAACAGCTATCAGCCAACATCTGAAAGACAATAGAAATTCTGGGCTCTCCAATACTCATGGTCAGGTAAAATATATTTCCTAAATATTATACGGGCCCTGACAGCTGTGCCCCTAGGAAGTTCTCTGGGCATGTGCTTTTCTGGGGAGCTTCAAAGGGCAGTAGAGTCCAAACTTCATGTGGGCCAAGGGAATTGGAATCTGTAGGCTCAGGTCTCAGAACCATTGCCCCAGGGCAGGGAGGAGCAGGCCTGGTCAGGCTTGGATTTAGCAAGGGATTTTCAGTGTCACCAGAAGGGCAATACACAGAGGTACACAATAGGTTTTCTGTATTTCGTTAGTAGGTTCCTCTGCCAACATAGTAAGCCAGACCAAGCCATATTGAAAAAGTAAAAGAACAGGTTTATTTGAGCAAAGCAACTCCCAGGTGAGTCCTCCAGTCCCAGAGATTGGGGCCAGAGAAGTCACACACCCGAACTGAAGCAGGGAACTTATATAGCCTTGCAGGTGAGGGGTGATGACATATCCACCACAAGCTGGGTTTGGCTCAAGGATGGTCAAAAACTCAGTACTTTGGGCAGGGACTTGGGCTGCTGCCAACTTCAGGGGAGGAGTTGCCATAGCCACCAAGAATGTGGAACTGGGTGTTTTTTGGTGCCTTTTTTTTGTTGTTGTTGTTGGAGATTCTCTGAGAGGACAGGGTTTGGCGAGAGAGGAATGGGGCTTTCCGGATCAAGCAGGAGTGAGCGGGAGGTCCAGGGAACACATATAGCTTGGATGGTGACGACAAGAGCCAACATTTATTGAGCACCTACTCCATGATCGGCAATCCTCCTGACCACCCTGAGAGGTAGTGTTACTAGTTCAAGCAGGAAGAAACAGGATTCTCCCAGAGTTGCAGGGGGAGGTAGTCAAGCTGGAATGCTGGTGGGAGTGTCTTTCATTTGGAATAGGAGGCAGCTCCCCCATGCAGAATGGCAGCTCTCCTGAGAAGTGGCTGCTACCTCTGACCACACAGTGCTGGAGGCCAATGGAGGTACAGCATGCCCTCCCTTCAGAGAGGGCTTGCTCATCAGCCCGTGTGGAGGAGCCAATGATGAGGAACCCAGGGCTGCTGGGGATGGATGGGAGGAGACTGGCCTTGGGGAATGCCTGTAAGCAAGGCGGCTTACAGATCAGGCAGAGGAAGGCACACATTGCCTAGGGCAGGGTCACCCGGGAGGCCTCCCCCAGGCGCCGGGCTAGCTGGCTGGCCTGCTGTACCAGCAGGTCAGTGGGGATGACAGACAGGTGCAAGGTGAGTAGCTCATAGCACCGGACAGGTTCTGAGGGGCGGCTCTTGCTGTAGTAGCGCAGGAGCTTCCTGCAGGAGATAGGACAGGACTCAGGCAAGGCCAGCCTCAAAATGCCCAACCCACAGTTCTCACAGAATGACCTAGGCTGTGACATTACCTATTGCTCCTAAGCTCTAGCTCAGCCTAGGGACAAAGTCCCACTCTTGGGCTCTCTAACCTTGAACAGTGGTGTTTTAACTAACTCGCGCATACCTGTGTGTGTGTGTGTGTGTGTGTGTGTGTGTGTGTGTGTGTGTGTGTGTGTGAGTAGTAGTAGTAGTAGTAGTAGTAGTAGTAGTAGTGGTAGTGGTAGTAGTAGTAGTAGTAGTAGTAATCGTCTGGGGCCCCTACTAAGGTCTTCCCACGCAGCTAGGACTGGGCCAGCAGCAGGACTGTAGGGACCTGAGTGTGCCTCTGGGGGCTTCATCTATCCATATGGGGTCCCCTGCCCCACGCCCAGGCCTCTCTTATCAAGGTGGCTGCTCACTCTTGGAAAGGCCTCTGGGACTTTGAGCCCTCACCACCAGGGCCTGGAACACATGGGACTCTAGGGTGACTTTGAGCCCTCACCACCAGGGCCTGGGGCTCATGGGACTCTAGGGTGAGCCAGCATCACCTGTAGTAGTCGCCTCCCAGCACTCCAATGGGGACTGAGTCATCTGAGAGGACAGGCACCTCGATCATCTGCAGTTTGTAGCCCTGTGGGAGGACGAAGACAGTCTTAGGACAGGAGGGAGCAGAGGGTGGACTTGAGAGAGATGGGTGAGGTAGAGCCTGGCAGGGCCCGGCTGTGTGCCCCATGCTGTGAGTGTGCCTATCTGTGTGTGCCCTATCTGTGTGTGCCCCATCTGTGTGTGCCCTATCTGTGTGTGCCCCATGTGTGTGTGCCCTATGTGTGTGTGCCCTATGTGTGTGTGCCCCATCTGTGTGTGCCCCATCTGTGTGTGCCCCATCTGTGTGTGCCCTATGCTGTATGTATCCTGTGTGTATCCCATGCTGTGTGTGCCCTATGTGTGTGCCCTATGTGTGTGTGCCCTATGTGTGTGTGCCCTGTGTGTGTGCCCCATGCTGTGTGTGCCCCATGTGTGTGTGCCCTATGTGTGTGTGCCCTATGTGTGTGTGCCCTATGTGTGTGTGCCCTATCTGTGTGTGTCCTATCTGTGTGTGCCCTATCTGTGTGTGCCCTATCTGTGTGTGTCCTATCTGTGTGTGTCCCATCTGTGTGCCCTATCTGTGTGCCCTATGTGTGTGTGCCCCATCTGTGTGTGCCCTATCTGTGTGTGTCCTATCTGTGTGTGTCCCATCTGTGTGCCCTATCTGTGTGCCCTATGTGTGTGTGCCCCATGCTGTGTGCCCCATGTGTGTGTGCCCCATGCTGGGGACAGCGTCTGTACCTCATTTTACCATGCTGTCTTGCCTGGGAGGTAGATGCAGCCACCATCACCTTATACACATAGGAGTGTGGTCCCATGTTCAACTCTGACTGCACTTGGAAGTTTTTGCTACCAACAAGTGGACCTGGGTTACTGGGGAGTTCAGAAAGGCCCAGGGAGAGTGACAGGGTGTGTAGGCGGGTGGGAGGAGGTCCTGTTGGGGTGTTGAGAAGCTAAGGATTCTCAAAAGACCCCCAGTCTCTGCTTTGAAAGAAATGGGACTTTTCAGGGCAGGACTAGGTGGGAGAGAGACAGAAGATCTGTAAAGATGTGCACTCTGCCTATAGAGTCTCCCAGAGAGGCTAAGATGAGGACTGTCCCATCAGAAGATGTCTCAGCAGTGTTCAGAGACCCTTGTGAGTCTTGTCACAGTCAGTGATAAAACTTGGTCTCCCAGGACTCCACTGTACCCCCTGCCCAGTGGGGGTCACTCTAGACACTAAATATTGTCCCTAGAAGCTTTACCACTTGGAGGGCACTTAGGAAGGGCTTAAGGGTCAGGGCAGCTAACTTTGGGTTCTAGCTCCATTTGAGTTTTGTGGACCTAGCCATGGTGTTTATCTCCAAGACAGCAGCATGTCCCCATCTGTAAAATGGGTCAATAAAACCTATCCCAACCATTCCCCCAGGCTGTGAGGAAGAGATGAAGAAACTACATCGCACTGTAGTAAGGCTGAGTGAGTGGGGAGAGGAGAGCAAGAGGCAGGAAGGGTAGCAGAGCAGGACGAGAGACCCTGAGGGGAGAGGAGTGATCCTTAGACATCAGGCAGTAAGGGAGAGGGAAGCAGTCTGGAGGACAGCAATAGAAAGGGGATGGGGAAGAGAGAGCAGAGGCTTCCAATGACCTCATGGCACTGAGGTGGCAGTAAGCTCTACAGTGCTGCACAGGCCAGTTAGAGACCTGGGCCCTGCTGGAGGCCACCCTTGGGCAGGATGGCCAATTGCTTTGAACCTGGGTCTTCCCCCATAGTGGGGTCGTGGTGTAGCCTTCCTTGTACACACAGGTGACAGAACTGAGGCGGTACAGCTGAAGACACTACCAGGGCGAGAGCCTCCTCTGAACAGGGAGAGCCTGCCGCCGGCTCACATCTACCTGGATGGTGCTGTGCTTACCTGCTGTTCACCAGGGACAAGAGGAGATGAGAAAGACAGATGAAACAGCGGAGAAGAAAGCTCTCCAAGGGTCTGGAGCAGTGGACAGCTCTCAGGACCGTCCTGCCCAGAGACCGGGCAAACCCACCATGTCATTCTCGAACCACAGAAAGTAGGAGCAGCGGAAGTCCCCTTCCTGGAACAGCAGTGTGGTGCAGCCCTTCTGCAGGTACCTGCGTGCCAGCCGCACCAGAGCCCAGACCTGGGGAGGAGAACACTGCTTAGCCTCACTCTCATGGCCAAGGCCTCCTTACAGAAAACCAAAGCACAGAGCCGAGGAGCTCCTGGGAGCCCAGGTGTCTCAGAGGCAGGACGCTGTCTGGGCTCAGAGTAGTGGGAGCAAACCATTACAGGAAGCTCCCCCACCGGCTGCCTTGGGGATAAAATACATGTGGAAGTGTTTCATGCAACTTTACCATACACATGACCCAGAAAACAGACAAAACCTGCAGGGCTGGGAGGAAATGGCACTGGCCCTGTGCCAGAGGCACTGGGAAGCACATGCAGGTGTAGAGTGAACCCTGAGTTGTGGCATCCTCTCCATCAGGGGGCAGGCCTGAAGGTAGGCTCACTATAGGGTGGCCCCGAGGAACTTCCTCCTTCAGGCCCCTCCCTGGGAATGCTCTGCCTAAGGCAGGTATCAACACCTAGGTTGCACAAGAGCAGCCTGAGGGAGGGTCTTGTCTACTAGGCTTGCCCGCTTCACGCCAGGGCCGGGAAACGGCCCACTCCTTCAAAAGCCTCAGTGGAAGGGATGTGGGATTTACTTCGTACTTGACCATAATGTACTATCTAATTAAATCTGCAACAGACACAGGAGCCAGCTACAAGCTCCAGGAAGTCAGCCTGACAACACAAATAGATAACTTTAATAACGTCCCTTCCCATCTGACTCCGCACCGGCATTTCTAGGGATCCATACTGAGGACATCCAGGGATGAGGGCTTAGGCGCATGCACAGGTGTGCCCACAAATCATTTAAAACAGTGACAGTCTGGAGACAATCTAAAGGTTCACTCAGTGGGGAATGGCTTTGTGAATTATGCTACATGTGCATAATGGGCCGTCATGGGGCTGCCAGAGATGAGGCATGTAAAGAGTTAACAGCAGGATGAGCTGCACCTGACATAATGCGAAGTGAGAATGTGTTACACAGCCCATGCATGCAGAGGGAGCAGCCTCGGGATGAACCTTAACAAAGGCAACGGGCAATGAAGAACGATGGGCTAGAGCCCCCACCCCTCTGAGCGGGGATGGGCTAGAGCCCCCACCCCTCTGAGCGGGGATGGGCTAGAGCCCCCACCCCTCTGAGCGGGATGTGGAGCCAACGGGTGGTAGGCAAGGAAGACTGCTGGGCTGTGCAGAGCATGCTTGGTTCCTACTCGGCCCCAGCACTGCGAGTTCACTTGTGCTTCGTGGCCTGCACCTGTCACGCTAAGATTACGTGGTAAACAGTATCTTCTCCATAACAGATATTTGAATTAAAAAGGAACTGAAATGTCACTAAACCGTGACAACGCCACACAGACAGCAAGGACATAGCTGGCTTTCCAACACCGGCCCTCCACCGTCTCGCTTATTTTACCTATCGTGATACACTTGATGTGGGTGAAATAAAAACACAGCATTTTAGAAGCGGCAGAGGTGTCTCTCTTCCTCAAAAGGAAAGCTACCAGTCTGTCATGAAGAGGAGTCAGTTAAGAGAAGAACAGAGGAAGGCGCTCCTGTAGCAGGGATCACCCGGTTTTACACTTGGTCGTTTGTGGGTGTAGCCCAGGAGCAGAGTGCTGGCTTAGTACACGAGTCCTTGGGTTCCATACCTAGCATGATAAGATTGATCAAATTCTGTGTGGGATATTTGTTCACTGTGTGGAAGTGTGCTGCTGTGATTGGTGTAATAAAAAGACGAACAGCCAATAGCTAGGCAGGATTTCTGTGAAGAGAAAAGGGAGAGGAGGAGGGACCAAGGCACAGGAGAGAAGCCAGGAGATGGGGAGATGGGAGGTGGAAGATGGAAGAGAGGTAGTGCTGTGTGCTAGAACGTAGATTAACATAAATGGGTTCATTTAAGTTATAACAGCTGGTTAGGAACAAGCCTAAGCTATAGGCTGAGCCTTCATAATTAGTAAGAAGTTTCCGTGTCACTATTTGGGAGCTGGTTGGCGGGACAGAGAAAGACTCATTATAAAACTCTGATGCCCACATTGGTTGACGTCCTTTCCAGTTCAGCCAACTCAAAATAATCGCTTATGCTGGGCGCTGGCCTTGCTCTAGCACCGTGGATGCCAGGCACACCAAAGTACACCAGGAATGGCTGACACAGGCACTGAGGCCCTCCGGGTCTGGAGGATCAGCTGCCGAGCCTAGGAGCTCATGGCAAATGTAACCAGGCAGACAGGCAAAGGGGGCCAAGCATAGCAGTGCTATGCTGGAAGCAGTTAGAGCCTCAGAGACCAGCATGGCCTATTTCTCCTGGGTTGGGAGTCAGGCCTCAGTGTATCCTACCCTGACAAGCAGCAAGGAGCAGTTACCTTGGCTTTGACGAAGGCGGCCAGGGGCCCCTTGCCCAACTCGGAAGACATCTTTTCACTGCTGCTGAGAGAAGGGGCCACCATCTGCCCAGTTGTACGGTCCACATAGATGAAGTGGACCAGGCCTGGGAAGTCCTCCAGGTAGGTGAAGGCTTGAGCTAAGGGGTTTAAAAGCCACTGACAGTGGGGACAGCGGGGGTGCCTCTGCCTTGGTCATGGGGTTCCAGGTGAGTTTTTGGGGACCAGGCTGCTTCTCTACACAAGTTTCTGCCTCCACTAAAGCCCAGAGATCTCATTTTCTCTCAGCCTCCCTCCCCATCTAGTCTTAAGATCCTTGGCATCTGCATATTTAATATAATCTGCACTCTACGGAAAGGAAGATGGCATGTTCACAGCTGGTCATTCCAGGAACAACACACAGCTTGAGGCTGGTGTGTGAACAGAGCCACTTGGCTGACGAATGAGCCTGGCTGACTGCCTGCCCCTCAACGTGATCTTGTCACGTCTGAGAGGGGAGCAGACTCCCATGGAAGGGCAGTGACTTGTGGATAAGGGACCTTGTGGCTTCCTGCTAAAGACAAAAATTCCAGACACTGAGCCCAGAAACGTGGGAGATTTTAAACAAGAAAAGCTGCCTCAACCTCCCTGAAAACCAGCATAAATATAACTAGGTGTGTGTCTTGGAAACAGGGGTATACATCTACGGTGACTTCCCAGCGCTTTTACTGCTGCTGCACTGTGATCATGCATGGAGGTCTCAAAGCAAGCAGAGTATCCTGGCCCTCATGGAATAGGATTGCCGTTCTGCTGGGTAGGAAACGTGGACATAACCCTCCCTGAAGACTTCTAAGACAACGCTGGAGCAGCGGATCCTGAGATTTCAGCCCTGGGCTTTTGCTATGGATGGCTGCATGGGACAGCAAGGCAGGAGAACACACGTCTAGCTTCCCCTGGGGCTTTGTGCCATGGAGACCCCAGGCTTCCTTGGGTTAGTTGAGTCAGGCAGAGGATATGACACCATGGTGACGTTCCTCCGGCTCTTCACCAACAGGAAATCCTTCCAGTCCAGCAGTCGCTCCCTAGAGAGGGAAGAAACTGAAGGTAGGCTACTGTGGAGAGCCCTGCCCACTCCCTGCTCCCTTACTTACTTCATGAGTTTCTGGGCTTGGTCCTGCAGATGCTGGGGCAGGTGTGGGCCTCCCCTGCTGGGTGCAGTGGCCAGGAAGCTGAGCCGGTAGATGGTGCACAGTTGTCGCTTCAGCTTTCCACAGGCCTGGAGTAGCCTGGGCAGTGGCACCGAGGGTAAGATACACAGAGTCTCTGGCCACATACCCTTACTGCACTGGGAAGCGGCTGGCTGGCTTTCCCTAGTGGTGTTTTTTTTTGTTTTTTGTTTTTTGTTTTTTGTTTTTTGTTTTTTGCCACATAGCATCTCCTGCTAATACTTGGGAGTGTGACTTGCCTTAAGTGGCACCATCTGGGGACAGCCCAGGCCTCAGTGCTTAGTGTTAGGCTCTCATGTCCCTGGCCTTCATTCCCCTCCAACCTCCCATGGTCTAGCCCCAGCTCTCCGGGACTCCCTTTCTACAATTCCCCGATCTTCTATCCCCCAGGACCTGGGGAGACTCTGCAGCATCTTCCTCTGAACAAACCCCCTTTACCCCAGGTGTGGCTACTCACTCCCAGGATGATCCTGCTTCACTTCTAGAAAAGGCCTTGGTCTTAAACTCCAGCCAGGAGCTCTGTAAAGAAGGGTAACAGGTCTGTTCCAGGCCATGCTCTGCAGGTAGGTCCAAGGGAGACCCCATCTACCTCCTGATGCTCTAGGTACACCTGCCTTCCTGCCACCAAATCTGGCCTTCCTGGCAGTCACTTAGGAGGGCATGATGTAAAGCACAATTTCTATGGGCTATGAAAGTCACGTGGCCTCAAGAGGCACAGATGTGAACCCATCAGAGGAACTAGGTAAGTTCCTCAAAAGAACACAAGCTGAGGACTGAAGGAAAGTGACTGCTGCGGGGGGGGGGCTGGGGATGGGTTGGAGCAGCCTCAAGGGGATCCTGGCTGACTGTCCCCAAAGTGAGAAGTCAGCATTCTAATAGCTGTGCCACCACCTGGGATACTGTGTGGCCTGCTGACACGCCACCACGATGCCCGGGTACCTAGGATACTGTGCAGCCCCCTGACACACCACCACGATGCCCAGGTACCTAGGATACTGTGTGGCCCCCTGACACGTATCCACGATGCCCGGGTACCTAGGATACTGTGCGGCCCGCTGACAAGCCACCACAATGCCCAGGGTACCTAAGATACTGTGTGGCCCCCTGACGCGCCACCATGATGCCCGGGTACCTAGGATACTGTGCGGCCCCCTGACACGCCATCACAATGCCCAGGGTACCTAGGATACTGTGCAGCCCCCTGACACGCCACCATGATGCTCAGGACACCATGCTGACAAGCCAGGGATCCAGTTACTTGCTCTCCTCCCCTAGCCCTTTTGTCCCTTTCAGATCAACACACATTCCAGTTCCCCAAACAGACTCATGCTCCAGCTACAGCAGGGGCCCTAAGCTATCAGTGAGCCTTCTGTTCTAGAATTCCGCCACTTTGAGGAGGGCCTTGATGGGTTCCTGTGATGTCCTGGTCACTGACTTCCCCATATGCTCAGTGCTTGGTCTCAGTCTGCACTCGGCCAGCTGGGAGACTGCCCGTGATGAGCAGGTTCTGGCTCCACTGCCCATGGGCTGGCTACTCTTGGCTACATCTTGGCTATCTAAGTAAGCCTGGGTCCTGTCTAAAGCATGGGGATTACAGCTTGAGTTCTGCCGAATTCCTATAAAGAGGCTCTGAAAATGTCAAGTCCAGCTATTAGGTATTTATCATTTCATGAGGACAACTAGGGCCACAGACTGAGGCAAACATGGACAGGAACCAGGGCTGTGTGCCCCTCATCGACTGGGGATGAACTTGGCCCCCTGCCAGCTCTGCCTCTTCTCTGGAGCTGGGTGTGTGCAGGACCTACCTGAATCTCCTGTCCAACACGATTCTTGACAAACTTGTCCATCTTCTGGCGCAGGTCTCCAACAAAGGGCTGGGATCGCAGGGCACTTCCAGGCTCCTGACCCTCCTTCAGCTTTTTCTCCAGCAGGGAGAAGCCGTCCAGCAGTTGGTACAGGACCAGGGCCAGTGCAGTGCTGGAACCCTGCCAGGAAGCGTGGACGCCAGGGTGGCGTGAAGCAGCCGGTGAGAGGCCAGGCAGGCCCTGAAAGCCGCTAAGGGTGAGACAAGCTCTGTACCTTGGTCAGCAGCACCATGTTGATGCCTGGCCACAGGGGCAGGCAGTACATGGTGTGGGGCACTAAGGGACAGTAGTTTTCTTTTACATTGGCATCCAGGAAGATCCTTCTAGGGCTGGAAGGTTCCGGGGAGTGTGGCACCAGCCCCTGGGGGGTGCCCTCAGCCATCTGTAGAGGAGGAAGACCTGTCAATCTGGTGGAAGAAAAAGGTCCAGGCTCTTCTACAACTTGGGCCCACCCACCCATGGCTCTGTTCCTTGCCCAACCTATAAGTCACAAGGTGTAAACATGCTTAGCGCCTAGAAAACCCAGCCCGGAGGGCTTCACGCTGCTGAGGCTGCTCTAGCAGCTCCCGTTCGCTCTGCTATCTGCCCCTTAGCTTCTGCTGGATGCCATGACGGGCAGTGGTGGGGGTGTGTGGGAGCTGGGTGGGTAGTCAGGGGCCATCTGAAGAGACACAGGTGGGGGACTGCTCCTCCTTCAGGGAGAGGAAAGAACTCTGTAACTCAGTAAACTGTGTCAGGACAGAGGTCAGTGAAGTATGGTAGGCTCCAAATGTGAAAAAGAAAAATGTGTACTGTATGCACACATGCTCATGCAGTGTGTGTGTGTGTATGTGTGTGTGTGTGTGTGTGTACATGCATGTGTGTAAAATAATAAATAACTAGTATGAAGCATCCATCTCTGAGGGTGGGACTGAGTGATATCCAGTCCCTTCCATATTTGACTTTTGTTATTTCTCATATCTAAATAGAAGGAAGATACCTAAACTTTAATTTCTTAATATTAAAACTTAAGTTGGACCTTCATTTCCAAGAACTTGGGTAGGCCACCTACACTGCTCTCCCCAGCCCTGCTTCCATGCTGAGCCGCCCTGGAGAGCCTGAGGGAGGCAGTGGTGCAGCTGTGGCTGGTGGGGTTACCCAGAAGGGAAGTCTCAGCTGTCAGCATCTCAGAGCAGCAGTGCCTGGGGGGACACAGGAGACTCACCTGTAGAACATCCGTGGGTGGGGTACCACCATCCAGCCAGAGGATGCTACCTGCCACAAATGAGAACAGAGCTATGGAAATACCTCAAGAGGGGGACATAACAACGGACTCTGAGGAAATCCAAAGAATCATCAGGTCATACTTTGAAAACCTGTACTCCACAAAATTCGAAAATTTAAAGGAAATGGATGACTTCCTGGATAGCTATCACTTGCCAAAACTAAATCAAGAACAGATAAGCAATTTAAATAGACCTATAACCCCTGTGGAAATAGAAGCAGTCATCAAAAGTCTCCCAACCAAAAAAAATCCAGGTCCAGATGGCCTCAGTGCAGAATTCTACCAGAAATTCAAAGAACAGCTTGTACCAATTCTTCTCAAAGTATTCCACACAATAGAGGCAGAAGGGTCTTTGCCAAACTCTTTCTATGAGGCTTCAATAACCTTGATCCCCAAGCCACACAAAGACACAACTAAGAAAGAGAACTTCAGACCAATATCCCTCATGAACATTGATGCAAAAATACTCAATAAAATACTGGCAAATCGGATCCAAGAACACATCAAAACAATCATTCAAGTAGGTTTCATCCCAGGGATGCAGGGATGGTTCAACATACAAAAATCCATCAACGTAATCCACCATATAAACAAGCTGAAAAACAAAAATCACATGATCATCTCACTAGATGCTGAAAAAGCCTTTAACAAAATCCAACACCCCTTTATGATAAAGGTCTTGGAGAGATCTGGGATAACAGGGACATACTTAAACATAATAAAAGCTATATACAGCAAACCAACAGCCAGCATCAAACTAAATGGACAGAAACTCAACGCAATTCCTCTAAAATCAGGAACAAAACAAGGCTGTCCACTCTCTCCATACCTTTTCAACATGGTACTTGAAGTTCTAGCTATTGCCATACGACAACAAAGGGGGATCAAGGGGATACAAATTGGGAAGGAAGAGGTCAAACTTTCACTGTTTGCAGACGATATGATAGTTTACATCAATGACCCAAAGAACTCTACCAGGGAACTCTTACAGCTGATTAACACCTTCAGCAAAGTGGCAGGCTACAAGATCAACTCAAGAAAATCAGTAGCCCTACTATATACAGATGATAAAAGGGCTGAAAAAGAAATCAGAGAAACATCACCCTTTACAATCGCCTCAAACAACATAAAATACCTTGGGGTAATGTTAACCAAACAAGTGAAAGACCTGTATCGCAAGAACTTTGAATCTTTAAAGAAAGAAATTAAAGAAGCCCTCAGAAAATGGAAAGATCTCCCATGCTCTTGGATAGGTAGGATCAATGTAGTAAAAATGGCAATCCTGCCAAAAGCAATCTACAGATTCAATGCAATCCCCATTAAAATCCCAGCACAATTCTTCACAGACCTTGAAAGAACAATAATCAATTTTGTATGGAGAAACAAAAGACCCAGGATAGCCAAAACCACCCTGTTCAACAAGGCAACCAACGTCTGGAGGCACCACCATCCCTGACCTCAAGTTCTATTATAGAGCTATAGTCCTGAAAACAGCTTGATATTGGCACAAAAATAGACAGGTAGACCAATGGAATCGAATTGAAAACCCGGATATTAACCCACACACGTATGAAATCTGATCTTTGACAATATACAATGGAATAAAGAAAGCATCTTCAAACAAATGGTGCTGGCATAACTGGAGGCTGGCATGTAGAAGAATGCGGATTGATCCATGTTTATCGCCATGCACAAAACTTAAGTCCAAATGGATCAAAGACCTCAACATAAATCCAGCCACACTGAACCTCTTAGAAGAGAAAGTGGGTGGTACCCTCGAACGAATTGGTACAGGAGACAGCTTCCTGAACATAACACCAGTAGCACAGACAGTGAGATCAACAATTAATAAATGGGACCTCCTGAAACTGAGAAGCTTCTGTAAGGCAAAGGACACAGTCAGCAAGACAAAAAGGCAGCCCACAGAATGGGAAAAAATATTCACTAATCCCACATCTGACAGAGGGTTTATCTCCAAAATTTACAAAGAACTCAAGAAGCAAGTCTCTAAAACATCAAAGGACCCAATTAAAAAGTGGGCTGCAGAACTAAATAGAGAATTTTCAATAGAGGAGTCTAAAATGGCTGAGAGGCACTTGAGAAAGTGCTCAAAATCCTTAGCCATCCGGGAAATGCAAATCAAAACAACTCTCAGATACCATCTCACTCCTGTCAGAATGGATAAAATCAAAAACACCAATGACAATTTATGCTGGAGAGGATGTGGTGAAAGGGGGACACTCCTCCATCGCTGGTGGGAATGCCAACTGGTTCAGCCACTTTGGAAATCAGTATGGAGATTCCTCAGAAAAATGGGAATAAACCTACCACAAGACCCAGCAACTCTACTCTTAGGCATATATCCAAAAGATGCCCATTCATACAACAAAGATGTCTGTTCCACTATGTTCATAGCACCATTATTTGTAATAGCCAGAACTTGGAAGCAACCTAGATGTCCCTCAACCGAAGAGTGGATAGAGAAAATGTGGTATATTTACACAATGGAGTACTATTCAGTAGAAAAAAAAACAATGGAATCCTGAGATTTGCAGGCAAATGGATGACACTAGAAGAAACCATACTGAGTGAGGTAACCCAGTCACAAAAAGAGAAACATGGCATGTACTCTCTCATATATGGATTTTAGACATAGACCTGCGGAGTGCCATCCTACAATCCCATGGCCAGAGAGTCTGAGAAACAGAAACTTCATTCAGTGGCTGATGGAAGAAGAGGCAGACCCCCCACAGCTAAGTACTGAGCTGAACTCAAGAAAGCCAGTAACAGAGAGGGAGGACTGATGACCAAAGGGATTAAGACTGGGCTGGTTTAACCCCCAGAAACAGCTGACCTGACAAAGGTTAACTCTTGAATCCCAGGCATCAGCCTGGGAATCCAACATGGGACTGATCAAGACCCCCTGAATGTGGGTGTCAGTGAGGAGGCCTAGGTAATCTATTGAGCCTTGGGCAGTAGATCAGTACTCATCCCGAGTATACACATGGACTTTGGACTCCCATCCAACAATGTGAGGTGCACTCTCACCCTGAACTCTTGGGGGAGGGTCTAGGCCCTGCCCTGTATGAAATGACAGACTATGGACACCCCCATGAAGGGCCTCACCCTCCCTGGGGAAATGAGGGGGATAATGGGGGGTTTGGGGAGAGGGCACGGGAGGAGGGGAGGGAAAGGGAGAGGGACCTGGAACTGACTTGTGAACCAACCTTGTTTCTTATCTAAATTTAAACTGAAAAATAAATTAAAAAAAAAGAGTGTAAGTGACCCATAACCCCATCTCCCACTCCTGCAGCTTAGGGGGTCCTGATCACTGACAGTTCAAACCATTTAGCCTCAAGCACTGGGCGTGGCAAGGCCATTTCCTGTGGCTGCAGGGACAGAAGCTTCCTGCTGGGAACAGCCTGTGGCAGGCATCTGGAGATGGGGGAGGGGGGGCATGTTCCACAGGCCCTCCCTTACCCGCCCCACCTCATGCAGTTCCCTCCTCGTTTCTTCTCCATATCCCTTCAGGGTGCTCTACACATGGAGTCAGCATCTCTCCATTCAGTTATTCACACATCAAGCTTGCTGGGCACCCATTGTGTGCTGGGAATTGAGCTTGATTTCCCTCTGAGGGAGCTTGCCAGCCTATTGAAGCCACTATGTATTTGAAATACTACAAGTTTGTAATATTATCCTTTCTTGTACTTCATTGCAAATAACCCTCATTTATAAGCACCCCCCCCCCACTCTGGGTGGCTCTGCTTCAGAGCTATGCATAATGTGCTGGCATGTACGAACTCCCAGTTTACAAATGACTTGCACTGCAGTCATCCATTTGTAAATCAGGTGTTGGAAACCTAGGGACACACTTGCTCTGTTTGTAATCCGTGCATGCCAGAACATTATGAACAGCACTGAGGCATACAAACCCAGCCACCCAGAAAGGGGGGGGTGTATAGAGGAGGGTGGTGATGGATAGGGAAAGAATTGTAAGGTGGTGTGCATGAAGGCCAAGGCCAGGCAGAGCCTGCAATCACACCTCGAGTCATGAAATATTTAGGGAAGCTGAAGGTGGCTCGAACCCTCCCTACCCAGAAAAAAGAACAAGCATATGAATCAGTCTGTAATCTCTGGGTTTCCTGGGTGCCCTGAAGCCCAGTCCATACCTAACTAAGGTTCCTAAACACTTAACTTCAGCTTCCGGAAATCGCTGCACAGCCTGGCCTAAGTCAGAATCTTCACAAGCTCGGCTTAGGTGGTTTGGGGGATCGTCAGGGGAGTCCAGATACATGTGGGGCTAGAATCATCATCCTAGCTCAGTAAACACCACAGGCTCCCTTCAAGGCACACAGGTCTTACCTGCACCCAGGTCTGAGGACAGAGTCAGAGGTGCTGAATCTGGCTAGGGATGCTGAGTGCATCCAGGGCTGAGAGCCACTGGCCTATAGAAGGCACACAGCAAACTCTAATAAAAATAGTCCCCCATGTGTCCCTTCTGCAAAGCCAGCCTTTTACCAGGTGGGTGAGCCACAGAGTCCCTCCTGCCTTTTATCCTAATATCTTGGTTCTTTCCTGGTGATGGCAATGGCCTGACTTTTGGCTCATTTCCTCCTCTATACAATGCTGTGTATTCAAATGTCAATCAATAGTATTAATAGTGCATTTTTACTACTTACAGATCTTGGAAAAATAGGTAAGGTTAAAAATTAAAAAAAAAAAACACTGAAACTGAATATTTACACTCTGAAATGTGCTTGAACCCCAGTGGACTATAGCTTAATTTTACTTACTAATTTAAATATTAATTATGAAGAAGGTAGAGGAAGCAGAGAGAACATATTTATGCTGTTGTTAGTGACTTATAGAGAGCTTTGGGGATCACTTGCATGATCTTAGCAGTGTTCCGATTCAAGCTGGGGTTGACAGGCGGGTTAGCGGCAGAGCTGAGGAACAGCCATCAAAGTGTTTGTGTTCAGGCCTTCACAAGGGGCAAGGGGACACTGACTGCCAAGACACACTCTCTAGTCTGCAGACCGGCGTTTGCCCATGATGCCACCCACTCGCTCCACGGGCTTTACCTGAACTCTGCTCTCCTGGGGAAGGAGCAGGCGTGAAGTACTCCTCAGGGAGGGAGATGCTGTCTGTGTCCTGGGAAAGAAGACATCGTGTTAGATGAGAGCCTAAGGCCAGGTGGCTTCTCCCAGCTGCTCTGGCTGGACCTGCTGTCCCCGAGGGAGTCCTAAAGGCCTGGCCTGGACTGAGGCAAGATGGGGCTGCCCTCTTTCCTCTCAGTACCCGGCACATACCGTCTCCTCGGAACTCCTGGGAGGGCCTGCGGTGCTCTGGCTCCCGGCCTGGTGCACTGGGATGTTTTGGCTGCTCAGGGGTCTCCTCTGGGTGAAAGACTGTGGAAGGCAGAGTAATGCAGTCAGCAAGGTTGATGTGGCTCCTCCCACAGCGCTGTCTCCCAGCTCTTAATAGATGCCCTCCTCTTCACCCTGCTCTGTGAGCTAGCCTGGGGACATGACCCTCCAGATGTTCAGGGTGCTCTGATCCTGGAAATTCTGACCTGCTGGTATCTGAACACTGATGACGTGATTACGTGGCCAGGCTAATATGATGCCAGGCACTGTCAGGCTCTACGTGGTCTGTCTCCTTCCCCCTTAGATCCTGCATACATGACACCGCAGTGCTCCCAGTATCCCCACTGCACAGATGAGGGACTCCCACTCCAGAATTCTTTTCCCAATTTAAGAGTTGGAGGACAAACCCCCCCCCCCCGTTCTCCTTGTGCTGCCCTGAGGCCTGTTGACAACCTGAGAGCTGTTGTCATCATTGTTATCCTCCTCTGTGGTGTCTTGGGTGGGCTGGAGGTCCTGAACCAGAAGGATAAGTGCCAGGAGATCTGCTGGGCGCAGGGTGCTCGCACCATGGCTGCAGAGATAGGGCAGGGGAGCCTGTGAGTATGCAACTAATCGTTAAAACCAAAGTTGTGTAAAAAACAAAAATTATCACCAGGAAGGCCCCAGGGACCAGCAATATGCTTTAAGTGTTCGTTAGAACCAACCCCAAGAAGGGAGTGGGCTGAGGTTTGAGATTTGAGACGGGGACAGGTCCAGACTGTCAAGGTTCTGCAGAGAAGGATCTGGAAGGGTTTTGGCTAAGGCCAGGCCCTCAGGGTTACCTGGAGTAGAAAGCCAGCAGCTTACAGTGCACAAGCAGGAAGGCGTGTAGAGCCTCCTCACCGCCCCGCTCAGGGCTGGAGTTGACGGCCTGAACCACGTGTCGCTCAAGCGTTTCGATGCTCAGTTCACAGAGCTGGGGGTGGATCAGCCGCTCCACAGCCTAGCCAGGGATTGGCAGTGAAGGAAAGCATGTCAGTATGTCATCCTGTGCTGGGGGTACATTCCCTTAGCCCATAGGGCACTAACTCTAGATGCCAGAAGACTAAGACAGCCAAGGTCTGGGTTCAGGCTCTAGTACGGCAAACAATGCATGGGGAACATGGAAAATCAACTGTAATATGTTCCAAGCAGGAACACATGACACTGAACTAGAGAGGAATAGCTGGGACCCACTGGAATAGACTGTTCAAAGAAATGTCCCTTTAAACTAATTCAGAAGGGACCTTTGAGCTGATATAGAAGGGACCAGAAAGCCTGCTAGTCAGAGCAGGGAAGAAGCAAAAGGCAGTGAATACCAAGGCATGAGATACACAGACAGTCTGAAGCACTGCCCAAATAAAGTAGAAGGTAGTCCTGTGAACGATTAAACATTTCTCAGGGCTCGCAAAATGGCTCAGTGGATGCATGTGCCCGCTGCCAAGACTGGTAACTCAAGGTTGGCCTCTGGGAGCCACATGGTAGGGGGAGAGAAACGGACTCCTACTGGCTGTCCTCTGACCGTAACTGGCATGAGACCACACCCATGCACCCACCCATGCATTCCCACACACAAAAGAAACAGATACAAAACAGTGAAAAGGTTTTTACACACTATTATTGACACATTCGTCAGATCCGTTGCACCGCTATCAAAGCTTGGCTACATTACACACTCAACAGGGCTAAGTCTCAGATGTTCAACGCTACAAGCACATTATGCAGAGCTAGGCACGAGGATTCCTGAGAGTGATGGATGGCCCATGTCCCCGCTGTATATTGAGAGAGGCCTGCTAGGAGGGTGGGTCAAGAGGGACAATGACGGAGCATCCAGGGCTGGTGGGCTTGAGGAGGGGTTTGGATTTCATTACTACATCAGGCCTCTTCCTGCAGCAGCCTTTCCTGATGCCTAAGAAAGAGCTGGCCGCCATATCCTTTGTACTGCCACAGATTTTGATGGAGAAGGGATATGGCACCAGGTCAATTTGCTGTGTATTTTGACTGTATGTATGTCTGGTTTCTTTTCAAGAGCAGTGGGTGTCTTTAGGTATCACAGTCTGGTTCATTTACTGCACACAGTAGGTCCATTTGTAGTCTGACCCATCTTCTGCACACAGTAGGTCCATTTCTTGGCAGAGTGAATGAACAGGAGTGTCTGTTTCCCCTACATGGACTCTCTTCAGCCATGTCTCATCTGCTCTTCAGCACACCCCGAATTGTTTCAACACTTGGCTTTCACGTCTACACTACCTGCCAGAGTTCTTTTAAAAATCTGCCTGGCCATTTTGGAATCTTTTATTATTTCTATTTGTGGTGTTACTTTTCATATCTTTAATTTTTAAAAAAGATTTATTCATTCTGTATGCAATGTTCTTCCTGCATGCCTGCACTGCAGGCCAGAATATGGTCCTGAAATGCATTACAGATGGTTGTGAGCCACCATGTGATTGCTGGGAATTGAACTCAGGACCTCTGAACCATCTCTCCAGCCCCATTTTTATTTTATCTAGCAATTCCAACTCCTTGGTATCCAAACCTGTTGGTAATTGATTGTCTAATATCCTGACTCTCACATATGGTGGCTTATTCTCTTGTATATCTGCCTATCTTTAACTATAAGTACTTTTTATATGCACACACAGATACATACATAGAGACATACACGTACAGACATACACATATACACACAGATGCACATATAGAGACACACACGCACAGACATACACATATACACACAGATGCACATATAGAGACACACACGCACAGACATACACATACACACAAACATACATATACAGACACACACAGAGAAAGAGAGAGAGAGAGACAGACAGAGAGACAGACAGACAGCCCTCCCTCACATCCTCTAATTTAGTGGTTTTCAGAGAATGATGAGGCCACACAGTATCACCGGGCACTTGTTAGAGCTGAAACTCTACGGCACCTGTCCTGGCTCCACCAAACAGGAATCTGGGTGGGTGAGGACTAGCCTGCCCTTACTGAGCCCGTCTGCCCACTCTGATGAACGCTGTGACGAGACCCACAGAGGGGCCCTGTGTTTGCCCTCAAGGGAGCAGAGAGGACGACTGACCAGTGCCAGCTGCCTTACCTGCTGTCCCTGTTCACTGCTTCCCATTCTAGTAGAAGCTCAATGTAGTGTTTCCCTGGGAGGGATGACATCAAAGAGGCCATTTCCAGAGGGATCTGTGATTTATAGTGAGCCCCAGATGTTGCTCTGAAACTCTCACCCAGAATCTAGTTGTGCACTAGGGGAAGGTACCCTAGAGTATCTAGTCCACTGCATGGGCAGAGAGAACAGGACAACTGGGAGAATTTCGGGGTCGGTCTGTCCTCTTGTTCATGCTTGCAGGTGGACACCTGCAGTGACCTGACACCCCTGGCCCCGAATCACCTCCACAGCGAAGCTCTGCTCCTGTTCACGCAGGTGGCTGTAGGTGTCCAGCAGTCTCTGAAAGTGCTTCCACACTCGAGCACGCTGGTTCAGGTCAGGGGGACGGAGCCTGGGGAAGAACCAGGGACAGCAGGGGTCAGTGGAAAGCTGGTCACCTCCAGCCCCAACCCAAGGACCCTGTCTCAGCTCAGCAGCATCAGACACCTAAGTGGTCAGGCCAGCAGTGTGCAGACAGGCTGCAAGCATGGGCAGGGACCACAACTCAGGCCCCAGGAGGAAAGGATGTCATTCCTTGGGCTCTTTCTCATATAGATATATAAGGCTACCTAGGGTTTGGAGAGTGGCTTGGTGATAGAGTACTTGTCTAACATGGGTAAAACTGTGAGTTTGCTCCCCACACGTAAATAAATTAAACAAAGTCACCTGCATTTCCTAGGCTTCTCACACCCCACAGGGCTCTGTAAACAGACTACCTGGCCTACAATCAGAGTTAAACTCAGGGGTATTAGCCAGCACTGCCACTGTAGCTGTGTCAGGCACCCATGGCTATAGCCACAGCCTGTGTCATTGACACCACAGCCACTAGGGCTAAAATGATCCATGAAAACAGTATGGTGGATACAGTAAGTGCCTCAACAATGAACACGTGCTCCCATCCCTGCAAACCCCAAGCCACGGCATTTCAAACCATGTGACTTTTTCGTTCATGTGAGTGAATCGGGCAATCCTGAGCCTTACTCCTTTGGGTCCACATTTCAACCCACCCCTCTCCACGGTCCTTTCTTGCTCATGTATGCTGGGAAGTATGATGCCATTCTCTGCCACCAAGGCTCTCAGTGTAGGCCTAGTATGTCACAAGGTTGCGGGGCTGGGGGGAGCTGCAAAATTTTCTGTGGAGAGTTTAAACAGCTTCTCCGAGAAGTCAGAAGGGGATAAACTCAAGCCCTCTTAAGCACAGCACACTGATGCCAGGAAGCCCAGGGCTGGGAGGGCCGGATGCTGCTGCTAACCAGCTAGGTGGCACTGAGGAGGTTGTCTAAATTCTCTGCCCAGTTTCCCCATCTGCAAAACGAAATCAGAGTGATGGTCTCCAAGGCCCCTCTGAGCTCTGCTTTTATGGCCCGACTCAGCAGAGGACCTGATAGAGTCAGTGACTCACTCCTTCCGGATGAGCTGGCTGTCCACTGTCACCAGCCCAAAGTGCACCTCGAACAGGTACTTGAGCACACACAGCTTCCTCCGGAGGTCCCCCTCGCTCTCACTGTGGTCTCCATTGATGGCGATGAACAGGCATTCTCCAAACTGTGGGCAGTCATGTAGTGTCAGATTGTCTCCTGGGGACTCCCTTGGCCTTCCCGGTCTCAGAGGATAAGTAAGGGGAGGGTGAGGCCCCGGGGACTCTGCTAAGTGGTAGTTTCTGCCTTCCAGAGAGCTGTACAGGCCAAGGTAAGAGAGAGGCATGTGGGCTCCCTAGGATGGGGACCGAAGTGGGTGTGGCTGCATGGAGTGCTGCAGGGTCAGACAGTTACCAGATGCAGGACATAGAGGTGGCTGCCATTTTCTGTTGAGAAGCTGGTGTACGTGTCTGAGAGTTTCTCCAGCATCGTCACGGAAGAGATGATGACTGGGGCCAGGAGAGTGCTGAGCTGGTCCTCCAGTGCCGGGAGCTAAGAGAGAGAGAGAGAGAGAGAGAGAGAGAGAGAGAGAGAGGGAGGGAGGGAGGGAGGGAGGGAGGGAGGGAGGGAGGGAGGGAGGGAGAGAGAGAGAGAGCAGGGATGTCTGCATTTTGGCACGGGTATGATGTCTACAAACAAGGTGGGACACACTCACAGCTTGGACATGCCTGAAAGTGTGCCAGCTACTGGGGACAAAGGAACAAACAATACCCCGGCCTTACAGCGAGAGACCTGCAGTGTTAGACCTGCCTGCGGAGGCCTCTACAGCCCTGATGGGGAAGGTAGGAGGAGGGATTGCTCCAAACCTTTTGTGGTTTCTAGGAGGGTGCGCTCAGACTAGTGACTATGTAGCTCAGGGTCCAAACCCAGGAGGAAACATTCAAGTAGGTATGTCTGACCATAGTCACAGGTCACATGCACCCCAGGAGAAGCCAAGAGTGCGGCCCAACACAAAGCCGCAAACTTGCTTAAAACATGAGCGTGGTTTGGGTGAATTTTTTTTCTTTTTGTAATTCAATTGCATTGTTTATCACGCATGAACTTTGCAGATACTATCTTGTCACAGTGTTAGAAGATTGGACAAACCCGCAAGACACCGAGACACATTTTCCCCATAGAATGCATGGAACATCTGACTGAGAAGTCAGCGGCTCCAAGGAAGTCTCTTAGATATATTAAATTCCACACCATTTGTGGACATGGACTACTTCAGGGACTTCATCCCAAGAAGCCAAATATGTGTGCACACACATGTTCACAACAGCAACGTGCAATTTTTGAACAACTGGGAAAAGAGAAACTGCCCAATCCTAGAGAAACAGCTAAATAAGTAACACATCTGAACCACAGTTTCTTACACTGGAGCTCACAGTACTGCAATGGACTATCCAAATAAAGGGGTTGCAACATACTTGGCAACAGTAACAAGGTTCTGAGTATACAACCATCAGATCTAGTTCAGAATAGAAAGCATAAAGGATCAAAGGGAGCACTGGTCCTAACACCCCACCTGCTCTCTGTGCTTCTCTCGCCATCAGGCCACAAAGCAATGATGGGCTCACTTTAAACACCCACTTCAGACCTGAGACTACTGTATGCTACGGAGTTCAGGGTTTCTATTGTACACACCAGGCTTCTGTTTTTATAGAAACATAATGATTTACTTATGGAAGACAAAGACTTAATATTTCTTATTGCCACTCCTGTGCACAAAATAGATTAGTGTATCTCAGACTGCATTGTGTTAGAATATTTGATTTTAGAAACATATATTTGAGTGGTTGACTTTAATTTCATAAAAATAACTAGATAAATTTTGATTTGGGTTTAGGCAGAATTATCACAAATTTAAGAAATGGCAGTAAACATACTTGGACTATTTTGTGCTAATGTTTAGTTGAAGTGCTGTTTTCAGAATCGACAATTATAAAATCAAAATGTCAATCAGCTTGCAATATTGAAGATGCTCTATGTGCTGCAATGCCAAACAGTCTGGGAAAGTTTAATTAGTTTTTAAAAGAGATTTACTTTAAACTTGTGTGTGTGTGTGTATGTGTATGTGTGTGTATGATTATGTGTCTGTGTATGTGAGTGTACATGTGTGTGTATGATTAGGTGTGTGCATGTGTGTGTATGATTATGTGTGTGCATGTGTGTATATGATTATGTGTGTGTATGATTATGTGTGTGCATGTGTGTGTGTATGATTATGTGTGTGCGTGTGTGTCCACCATTTCTGGACTTTCTCTGTTCCCTAACAGGCATGTGTACACTTGGACATACTCTTCTTCATCATTCCCACTGCTCCTCCTCCCCTCCCAGTGGAGGAAGGGAACAGCAGATACAAGAGTCTGTGAGAACATGGGGGAAGCTGAGGAGAGACTCCAATTCCACCCTCGATGCTGGAGTGAAGAGAAGGGAGGAGATGGCAGGTCTTGCTGATTCCACAAGACTCAAATGCAGCTTGGGGAAGCTGGCTCCTCCTCAGGGAGAGTGCTGAGATACACAAACAAAGGATGAAGCCCTCACCTCGAAAACAGAGCCGAGAGGCTGACTGGTTAGCAGTGGTGAGCAGTAGCACAGAGCAGGACCAGGCAGTTTCCCTGCCAACCTTCCCATCACTCAGGAAGCTGGCACTAGGTTCACCCCTGAGGTCTGCTGCACAGTTTTTTTGCTGATGCCCTTGGCCTACCCACCTGTCACTTGCATTCTGCAGCCTGTTCAGCTCTGTCTGCTGATATAGGTCAGCCTGCACCTGTGGGGTTTACTCGACATACGGTTCACTGTTCATGGTGCCTCCCTGGATCTACATTCTGAGAGCAATACTTCCTGCTGCACTCTGAGGGGGCAGCAGACTCCAGACTCAGTTTTTGTTAAATGGCTGCTCCATAGGTAGGAACAGATTCTTGCGATTTACTCAAGTTCTAGTGTTTTCTTTAACTGTCACAAATTATATTGAAAGTCATTAAAGAAAAAAATCTAGACTGAGTATAGTAACTCACTTTATACGCAGTAGCTTTTTCTATTGAGAATATTTGGTGGTGGAAGGAGACCAAAAATTTTCAATATACATAGAGTATAAAGGAATATTCTTATATATTACTTGATAAATTACCAAGTGCTGAAATATTTTTGAATGTCTTTTAACTCATTTTTATTTCTAGAAATAATCATATGAAATGACTGGATTAAAGTTCAAGCACAAATAAATGTTCTCCACAGTGACAGCTGTCTAGCATACACACACACACACACACACACACACACACACACATATATATATATATATATCTTTTCATATACTTAGAGAAATAGTCCAACCAAGATACATTTATTCATATATTTGGACATAATGGAAACATTAAGATTTATGCTTTGGGTTCATAACAAAACGCAAAAATGATTTGATATAATGAAGTAAAAAAATCAAGAAACAAAACTGTAAATGTGATATGGTGCCCACTATATAAAAGTAAAGACCCAGAACAGGGATGTGAAGGAGCCAGTAACGCCCAGGAATGGGTTATGAGTTATTAAAACTACTCTGTGCTCTCAGGTCCCCTATAGTAATACCTGTTACTCAGAAGAAACTAAGTTATTCACACAAACAGCACTTGAGGATATGTCACTTTACACTAGCTATGTAGGAACTAAAAACTTGGGACTTTGTTCTTGTACTAGGTTTTAATTAGGAGGAAGAACTGAAATATTTCTTATAAGTTCTTAAAGATTAGATGCTACAGATTAGATGAAAGTGCCTAAGAGACAGGCCTAGGATTTTAATTTAGAAGATCATTTGAATGCCCATGATCTCTCGAGTCGTATTTTCTCTTAACAAAGGACAGTGGCGTCAGTGGCTGATGGTGAGGGTGATGTGAAGGGTGTAAGCTCAGCCAGGCCTTAGCTTCATCCCTGGATCTGGGGAGCAGCTTGATTGTGTTGCCAGGAAATGCGAGAATGTTTTGATCATTGAAAATCTAATAAAAAAATTTAACCCAAAATTAACCCTAAAAATGCAAAATAAATGACTTGTGAAATGCAGAATGGGAATTCAATAAGAGAATATAGCAAACATTTCTCAGTGATATTAAATAAAATGGATGCCCACATACAGAAAAGCTTTCAGGCATTCTTTGCACTATATTCAAGTCCAAAAAGGGTCATTGGGTCTAATATGAAATTCAAAACTAAATCTGTCACAGAGGTGTGTGCCTGTAATCCCAGTAATTGGGAGGTAGAGACAGGAAAATTGCAGGTTAGAGGTTGTTAAGCTACCTAGTGAGATCTTGTCTGAACAGAAACAGGGGATGGAGGTGGTTCTGTGGATAAAGATGTTTGCTGCCAAGTGTGACGACCTGAGTTTGATCCCCAGAATGGTAGAAAGACTGACTTTCCTAAGTTGTCCTCTGGCCACCACATACGGTCTATGGCATGTGCACACAGGTGCATGCATGTACACAAATAAATAAAAGTTAAACAACAATAAAAACAACAAAACCCCCAAACTAAAACAAACCCCAAGCTACAAAAATTCCAGAAGAAGATATGGGGAAAATTGTTTGTGATCTTAAGTTACGCAAAGATTTCTTAGATGCGTCACCAAAATCATGGTCCACAATCGCAGAAATGGAAGATTGCACTATCAGAACTAAAAATGTGTGCTCTTTGAGACACTCTTCTTTTTAAGCTTTTAAAAGAAGCTTTTATTTATTTTGTATGTGCATGACAGTATACACAACACAAGAAGCCAATAACAGTCTCCCAGTCATAAGCAGCTCAGCTTAATGTGTCCTTATAGATGCTGCAAGTGTATATACATTTAGGGAATTGAGATTATGCAGTATGTACCATGCTTTCCCCCACATTGTGAATATTCACCAACTAAAAACCCACACTATATGAGTATTTTGATAACCAAGAATACACCATGCCATCTCAATCTGTCAGACAAAATTGTAATCCTGTCTTCTTAGCAACAAAAATTTCATAGAAGACAAAAAATGGCAGCAGGCTTCTAGATAGAAGTATTGGCGAAGTTACAACTAAAATTCTGCATTCCCTCAATGCTCGGCTTACAGGGAAACACAAAGCAACAGACCACACTAAGTACAGCATTCCTAAGTTTATCACCACATCTGTACACTAAGATATGAAGAAGGTGTGTTCCTATTCAATAAACGTATTCCTATGGATGTGCTGAGGATGCACTTAAGGCAGGGGCTCCCAGGATGCCAATCTCAACACAGCACAGCACTGCAGATCTCACCCTGTGAGCTTCCCTCTGCCCCTCCACAGTCAGCCTAGCAACATGAAGTAGCTCACACTGTCCAGAGGTCTACGTTCAAGAGGCACCTTTTCTGTCAATCTGCCAAGCTATACTTTTAACCATGTGCTCTCCTTTAGGACATTTATAAAGTTCAGATGTCGTGGAATGAACTTTTTTTTTTAAAGATTTATTTATTTTATGTGTATTAGTACTCTGTCAACATGTACAACTTTTGCCAGAAGAGGGCATAAGATCCCACTCTAGATGGTTGTGAGCCACCATGTGGTTACTGGGAATTGAACTCAGGACCTCTGGCAGAGCAGCCAGTGCTCTTAACCGCTGATCCATCTCTCCAGTCCCTGTGGAATGAACTTTGTACACAATAAACACAAGTATCTTCCTGTAAGCACATGCAGATCCCTGGGTACAGTTATAACTGTCTTCTAGATGGGGTGGTCATCCATCTTCTGCCCTGCACAACTCCAGTTTAGGATGATTCATTGTATGAGAATATTACAAAGGTCACCCCCAGAAGGCAGCTCTCTTGGAAGGCACTCTTAAGAGCATGTGCAGACAAGCCACGGTCTGAGGGGAAATCTTTGCAAAAAAAGATCTAATAAAAGACATGTCCGAACTATGTAAGAAATTCTGAAAATTCAATAAGAACAACTTGAGAAAACAGATCTGTTGTGGATATTTGTACACTGTGTGAAGATATATTGCTGTGATTTGTTTAATAAAGAGGTAAACAGCCAGTAGCTAGGCAGGAGGTAGAGATGGGACTTACAGGCACAGAGAGAGGAAGGAGGAGATAATCTTGGTGCAGGGGAGATGCCAGGAGACACAGAAGAAGCAGGATTGGCAGCATGTAACAGAATGGAGAATGACAGGAATGGGTTAACTTAAGTTGTAAGAGCCGGCTAAAAACAAGCCTAAGCTAAGGCCAAGCTTTCCTAGTTAATAGTAAGTCTTTGTGTCACTATTTGGGAGCTGACTGGTGGTCCAAAGGAAAGTCCAATTACATAGATCAAATATGGGAAACAATATGGCAAAGTAGCACATGAAAAGCCTTCCAGAGTTATTAGCCACCAATGGGTGAAAATAAAATATGGGATTCTAGCTGACATCTATTAAACTGGCTAAAATTCGAAAGAATAGAACGTATCTGTGAGGTCACGGAAGAGCAGTCAGTGCTCTTAACTGCTGAGCCTTCTCTCCAGCTCCAGAGCTAGGGTGGTTTCTTAAGGAGTACAGGATCTGGAGGGATGGCTCAGCCATTAAGAAAGAGCATTTGCTGTTCTGGCAGAGGATCTGGACTCTATTTCTAGTACCCACATGACAATTCAGAGTCATCTGTAACTCCAGTTCTAGGTGATCTGATCCCCCTTTTGGCCTCAGTGAGCATAGCATGCAAACGGTACACAGACAGACACGCAGGCAAAACACCCATATACATAAAACCAAAGTCAAAAACACCCACAGAGTCCAGACCCATGCAAAGATGTGTGCTCACAGTCAACGTGTTTATGGTAATCAAAAACCTGGAAACAAGTCAAATGTCCACCAAGAGGGAAAGAAGAAACGAGTTGTGGCCTGTGGATATGATGGAATGAATGTTATACAGAAAGGACAGGACTGAGGGACTGGTGGGTGTCAAGATGGATGAAGATACAACAAAGACTCACGCTGAGTGAAAAAGGCCAGCCCAAACCAAGCATGAAATGAAACCCACACACACTGTGTATGATGCTTCTAGGTAAGTCTACAAAGCACAGGCTCATCAGTAGAGCAAGGTGCTTACTGATTCTTAGGGAGTAAAGGAAGTAAAAAAAGGAGTTATAACTTTTGGGGGTGGCATGCAGTTCAGTGATTGTGACTGAATCACAGAAACAGACACATTAAATCGTATACTTTAAACACGAACAGACAATGGCTAGTCTAGTATATCTTAATGGAGCTGTTAAAATAAATGCTTTGCCAAGCTTTTGGGGCAGCGAACCCGATACCAGGTTTCCCTGCTGTGCAGTTAAAATTTACCTCCTTTCCCCTCATTGATGTAGACAGTGCTGGTGAGGTGTGAACTCACAGTTCTCAGAACATGAAAAGGCTGCCTCTGTTGGCCAGGCAGCCCAGCTTTCCCTCCTGCTGGCCAGACAGCCTGTCCTCCTGTTGGCCAGGCACAGTTCTGACAGCCAAGCCCTCCTGATGGCCAGGAGGAAGCTCTCTGGGCCTCCTTGCCTTGAGTGGCTTTGTGTGGCTCCTCTACTAATCCCTCCTGAGACAGCCCAGCTGCACTTACCTCCTCCTCCTCATTCTCTGACTGCCTGAACTTCAGCCTGAGGTTCTCCTCAAACTCCTTGTCCGTCCAGTAGAAGAGCACCTCCGCGCCCTCAGTGGCCACCAACACACACTTCATCTTGCAGGGAGAAGCAAGAGCGAAGGTCAGATCTGTGCTTCAGCCTCAGTAATGAGAAGAGCCTCAGCCTGTTGGACACTCACTGAGCCCTTTGCAGTGTGCCAGCCTCCACAGGGAAAGCCATGCTGGCGTTACTTTGTTACACCCCAATGAAGTAGGGGCTGGAGAAGGTGGGTGGGGAAGAGAAGGTGTACAGGGTTCAGTCCACCATCCTTATTCTGCTTTCCACAGCCCCAAAGTGGGTGCTGCCCACCTTTCCACCCCCACCCCACCCCAGGAGAGGAGGAGCATCATTCACCTTGGCAAGGCACACAGCAGAGCTTCCAAGGAGCTAGCTTCCGACCAGCTCAGGGAACAGCGCAGCATCACTGGACCTGCAAACGCTTAAGGCAGAGAGGATGTGAAAGTATGAAGAGGCTGTGGTCTCCACCGCTGCCTGTTCCTGAGACTGGACAAGCTGGGGAAGGGTTGAAATGTCCCAGGCTCCCCCATTTTAGGGACCATAAGCTTGGGGAGCCCTTCATGTGGAGCAGGTGTCGGTGACACACCTCCTCTGCTGCAGGAGAGGTCTTGTTCTATGTTCACGGTCACTCAAACAAGTGGGGTGGTCAGCAAAGCCACTCTGAGCAGCCCCGAGGAACTTGATGTGAGCCGTGGTGGGGAGATGCCACAAACTAACATCAGGGTTTGCTTCCACTTGGGGCTTTCCTAGGTCACATGTGACTCTGAGCCTTAAGCTCCCACTGGGAGACCAAGGAACAGATCCCTGGTGCACCTTCCTCCCGGGTTACAGGAAGAGTCACCCAGACCCAGCCAAATTGCAACCTCAGAGCAATAGGCTCAGTTTATGGACAAGAATGGTGCGTGGGTGTCATTCTTCTTTCCCAGCTTCAAATAACAGGAGAAACAAACTCACTCCGGAATCCTCCCTGTTTTGATAAAGGGCAAGAGAATCTAAAGCCAAAGAGGAAGTTTTGCTCTTCGGGGTTTTCATCGCTTACAATGAAACTCTGAGCCTGGCTGCACCACCCTCAGGATTGGCCTTACTGACAACTTCCTGAAAACACGGGCGCGCTTCTTGGCGGGGGGTCAGGTTCTACTTTGGTGATTATCTTCGAAGGTTGCTAACCTCACTTTCTAACTTTGTTCTCCCTACATCTTGCTCCAAAAAGAGGAAACTCGGAGGAGAACGGCCAACCTGAGAAAATCCCCTGCACCTGCTTTTACCACCGGGACCGCAGCTCTTTCACTGTCCCCAGCAAACTGACCCTGTGGCCTCTGTCCTATCCACTACGGCCTAGGAGGGGTGGGGGGCGAGCGGGCGGGGACCAGAAACTGTGGTGTTCCGGCAGAACACCGGAGTCTTGCTCCGTGCCACTTAGCACCGCGTCACGGCGAGGCTCCGCCCAAAGGCTGCTTACTTAGCACTCCAGCAAAGTCACCCTCAAATCCTCACGTCCCCTCCCCCACCCCCCGAATTTCACGGTGACCCGGGGGACTAAGGCCTAGCTTGGGGCGCCCGCTCCGAAAGCGCGTGGCACTGAGGCCATTCCCGGGGACTCCCGGACCTCTCCGAGCCGGGAGGGCTGGGCGGCGGAGGTGCCCACCGAGGGACGACCCAGGGTGGCGCTCGGACACCCGCGAAGTCCACATACCAGATCCACCGCTCTCAGCGCCCAGCATGTAGCCGGCCCGCGGCACGCTTCCGGGTGGGACCGCGTGACCCAGACACATGACTGGGGCCTGCTGTGTGGGTTCGAGCCCCGCCCTGTCTGGCATTGCTCTTGCTTGGCATTGCCCGGGCCCCGCAGGCCGCTGCTCTTGCTGGTCACCGGCTTGGAGAGTTGCTGGTGCTGGGGTGCGGTGCCGCATCCCCCCCTGGAATAAGGAGGGCTCCCACTGCCCTTAGAGGCGCCTGCTGCAGGCCGGTGAGGCTTCTCTCAGAGGCCTTTCTGCCTGACTTAGCTAAAGCGATTCCCTACAGATTTACAGAAGGGGCAACTGAGACCCCAGAGGGAACCAACTTGCTGAAGAGGGGCCGAATAGAAGCAGAACCCAGGTTTCCTTGGACTTCTGCCGGACCTTTCCCGGCCTCAAGTTTTCTTGCTGAATCCGGTTGTGGGTGACAGCTGCCCTTTTGTGGGTGCTTTCTTTTACCTAGGACCCCTGCAGGAGAGCCCAAGCGCCTCACATGGGCTGTGGCTCCTTGATTTACAGGGGTTACCAATCCGACGAGGGCTGCGCACACGTTAGGGGTGTTGTCTGGAATCTGTGATTGCAACCTATGTAGATTTCATGTGTATTTGGAGTAGTCAAAAGAGTGAACGGGGCCAGTGTAGTCCGCAGAGGATGCTGGATGCCCAGCCAAGTCCTCACAGGATACCTTGGTGCTGCTGGGGAACTTTGCTCCAGCCCAGAAGAGAAGGAGATGCAGAGAGCCTCAGTAACACCCCACCCTGAAAGGCACGGTCCAATCTAACAGAGCATCACTCCGCCCCTCCCTTCACCACCCACCCCGCCCAGCCCAGCTCCACCACACAGAGCAGCCACATCGCAGGCACCCCTCTCCCAGAGGGGTTCGGTGTTTTCCTCCTGTTTCAAACAGTTTGTAAACTTAAGTAACTGCTACCCCTTAAACATTTATAACCATTCTAGTAGATGTTACCTGGGTGATAGAGACTTCCGTTTCACCAATGACTAATGAATGGTGCTGACCATCCCTTAAGGTGCTTTCTCTTCATTTGTGTATCTTTTTGAATTATTTTGCTTTCAAGGAAATGTCTATTCATATCTTTTACCCCCTTTATTGACATTATTTTTATCCATTTAAATTGTCTTTATTATTGGATTGTAAGAATTCTTTATGTTTTAGATGTCTTAAATTATATATACATGCACACACACATATATTTAATTCCTATTATGTGGTCTGTCTTTTTACTTTCTTTTTTCTGTGCGTGCATGCATATGTGTGTGCATGATCTCGTATGCAGGCATGCTCGTGCATGCTCAGTTTCATCCTTAGGAATGCCATTCATCACTTCTGATGCAGGGGCTCTCACTGTGCAGAGTTTACCAACTAGGCCAGACTGACTGGCTAGCAAGCCCCAGGGATCCACTTTCCTGAACCCACACAAGGATTACAAACACAGGCGACCTCATCTGGATTTTAATGTGGATTTTGGGGATTGAACTCAGGTTCCTGTGCTTGCAAGGAAAGCATTTTACCAGTTGAGACATCCCCCTGGCCTCATCACTTTCTTAATGGTATTATTTGAAGTGTCAGGGTTTTCCGTTTTGATGTAATTCAGCCTATTTTTTATGAACCAGGAGAATATTTGATCAGCATACATTCCAATATGTGTGTGTATATATGTGTGATGTGTGTGTGTATGTGTTTGTGTGTATATGTATGATGGATGTGTGTGTGTGTGATGGATGTGTGTGTGTGTGTGTGTAGAGAATGCCCATGAGTGCCTGTGCAGAGGTCAGAAGTGTGTGTGTATGTAGAGAATGCCCGTGAGTGTGTGTGCAGAGGTCAGAAGTGTGTGTGTGTATGTAGAGAATGCCCATGAGTGTGTGTGCAGAGGTCAGAAGTGTGTGTGTGTGTGTGTGTGTGTACAGAGAATGCCCATGAGTGTGTGTGCAGAGGTCAGAAGTGTGTGTGTGTATGTAGAGAATGCCCATGAGTGTGTGTGCAGAGGTCAGAAGTGTGTGTGTGTGTGTGTGTGTGTGTGCCGAGAATGCCCATGAGTGCGTGTGCAGAGGTCAGAACTGTGTGTGTGTATGTAGAGAATGCCCGTGAGTGTGTGTACAGAGGTCAGAAGTGTGTGTGTGTGTGTGTGTGTGTGTGTACAGAGAATGCCCGTGAGTGTGTGTACAGAGGTCAGAAGTGTGTGTGTGTGTGTGTGTGCGCCGAGAATGCCCATGAGTGCCTGTGCAGAGGTCAGAAGTGTGTGTGTGTGTGTATGTAGAGAATGCCCGTGAGTCTGTGTACAGAGGTCAGAAGTGTGTGTGTGTGTGTGTGTGTGTGTGTGTGTAGAGAATGCCCATGAGTGCCTGTGCAGAGGTCAGAAGAGTTGCTTTTCCTGCTCTGTCCTTTCTGCCTCATTCTCCTGAGATAAGGTCTCTCCCTTCACATGGCGTTTGCAGCTTTTAGGTCAGGCTGACTGCCAGCAAACTCCAGAGCACCTCCTGTCCCTGCCCTGTCCCTCAGCATTGGACTCACAGGCAAAGTGGCCACTCCTGGCCAGAGATCCAACCCTCATACTTGCTAACCCCAAATTGTCATTTTATAGATGAGGGCTCTGAGGGCCAGAGAGCCTGAATTAGTCGGGCAGGGATGCTATGGTCTCCGGGTGTGAACCTGGCTTCTGGTTCTCCACCTTCCAGTTTGTTGTGTAGCTCCTTCTGAATGAAAATGCTCTCTTTTGGTGGGAGGAAGGGCTTATGAGGCTGAAGCTCACAAAACTTAAAAGCCTTAGATTATAGGATTCCCATGGTCCCACCCCACGGTTATAAGAGCTAGGGCGGGGAGACTCCCGGGGTGCTGCCTGCTAGGGAGGCTGCCTTCATGGCTTGTCCTCTAGCTGGTTGTGCTCTCTGCGGTGCACTTGTCTGTGAGTGGCCCATGCTCCCGACGTCACCCCAGTCAATCCGTTGGTTCATTAAACTAGACCTTGAGGGAATCATTTCTTTGATCTGTTGTTGATGCCTTGTCTTGGCTGAACTGACCTCGCTCACATCTTTCCAGGAAAAGTCACACACTACTATTTGGGTTTGGTTTTAAATTATGTTTGGGAGGCGTCCAGCGGAGGGCACAGCATCCGGTACTAATGCTCACGGCTGTAGGCATGGGACATTGCTGATTGCTCTCTGATAAAAATAGCTGTGACTGGGCCTGTGAGGACTTCAGGAGTGGGTCAGGGGAGAAGAAAAGCTCCGCTAAGTCACTGTGGACTGTGTAACCGGTTCTGTAGATCTCGCTATAACCGTACAAGCAGCCACAGACACTTGACGGCAGCAGGGGCGAGAGCTGGTGCCATCGTTGCATTTTCCAGTCTCCCAGCATCCTTCAGCTTTTTGTGCTTCGTTTCCCCCAGGCAGATGTTGGAAAGTGGTTTCCCAGGCAAGGACTTTATTTTCTAGACCCTGGTCCCAGATGGGTCAGTGGGACTGAGTGGAAGGGTTTTATTGGTAGTTCCATGTCAGTCCCCGGACTATTCTCACTCGATCCTCCATGCTTTCTCTCCTTGTTTGTCAACAACTCCTTGGTGCCCATGGGATCCTTGAAGGAAAGTGTCAAAGGTAGCAAGGGGTCCGCGTCAGTCTAGATGCTAGTGACAATGTCACCAACTGAGCTGTGAACAAGAACTAAGCCGTGGCCATGTTAGCCATTAAGATTATGGCGTTTATATATTATAATCACATCTCCCTTCGCCAGTGCATCAGTGACATCTAACCTGAATTATGAAATATCATACTACTTCTAAAGGCTGAGCCAAAGCTTATTGAGGAGGGCAGGAGGACATCATGAAGTCCAAGGCCCCAGTGTGTGTTAGTGTTCAAGCAGTCAGACTTAGGTTCCAGGTGTGGTGTGAAACACTGATGCCTCCCTCTCCCCACAAAACACCCTGGCAACAGGAAGTTAAAGTAGTCATATTTTATTTCTTACAAAACATTGCCTCAGAATAAAAACAACCTCATGGACTCAACCTCCCTTCGATCACCAGGTTTGCATAAACCGCACTCTGATGTGGGTTTTAACACCTGTTAGAATCCCTGCACAGAGACACAGCTTTCCCCAGAGGTGCTCCTGCGCTCATTTCGGTAGTTTCCAGATGAGTAAAATTAAGGCTTCTTTCTATTTCTTCCCAAAGTATAATCTATTAGACAACATTTACTACTCGAAAAAGAACCCTAGAATGTTTTCCTGAATAATAATTAGGAAAGAGACGTTCCTAACGTTGGTTGTTGGAGGGTACCATTTCCACAGCTGGCTCACAGGGCCACGGGAAGAATTAATGAGCCAGTCAAAGGGAAACGCTCCACTCCTTCCAGATGCAATGCTCCCTGCTCTCACAGGGGCTTCCCCGGTGTTTAGAAGAAAGTGGTACCAAGGTGCTTGGTTTATTCTTATGTTTCAGGGTGCAGTTTGCAAGTGTTTGCATAAACCCCCCCCCAGGCTGCTGGATACCATTTACTGTCCAGTGTGGGCAGAGGCAGAGACTTCCAAACCTGAGTGACGGAGTGAGGGGGACAGGGCCATGGAAGTGCTGGTCGGCTCCGCTCCTTCCAGCCCAGGATGCAGAAATACCAAGCATTATCACCTAAGGCTGGGTCAGTGTGGTGGGAGTGGTCCTTAGACCTAGGAAGAAACCCGGAGAAGCAGAACAGGGAGGCAGGGCACTGCAGGCCACCGTGGTGAGCCTGGACTGCAGAGCCTAGTCACAGCCCTCCTCACTACAAGCCTGAGCAGGATTTGACATTCAGCAGACCTGGGTCTAAGCCCATTTCTGTTGTGTTTATCTGGATGGGTGTGGGGGTTTCTCTAATCCTCCTGGTGACACCAGGGTCTAAAAACTGACAAGGGAAGGGCATTTCCTTCGCTCTAAATGTTCCGGTTGTTTGGGCCTTATACTAGGATAACGTATCCTAGCACTGCTTCTGTTTGGAATGTTTCTCACCCTCTCTCCAATGGATAGAGTTTAAGAAAAGGGCACAAAGAATCCTAAAATTGAACTTTTCACTGTCTCAGAACAGCGGATTTCCTTGGGCGGGACCCCCCTTGGGGACAGAGTGGCTGGCGAAGGGAGGGTGTGGAAAGTAGGTTAGTGGAAGGAACCAGCAGGGTGCACACTTGGCCATGGGAGCTGCCTGGAGGAGGCTTTCTTCCTCTCCTTCTCAGAGACACACCATTATCACTTTGGGTTGCTTCGTTTGTACCTCGAAACATCAAAGTCCTCCTGTGTCCTCCTTTTGGCCATCCTAGGGATCTACCTGGTTTGCCTTTACTTCCCCAGATGTCAAGCTGGCCTATTGTTCTCAGAAAGGAAGCCACTGTCTATGACCTGCAAGGCATAGCCTGTAGCCTGAGTCTGTGTGCATGCAGGACACCTGAGTACAGCACTTGAAGATGCTGGTGGGCCCAGAACATGCTGGCTGCAGATGCTGGGTGGTCAACAGCCTTGGTACCCAGTGCTCACCCCTGGCCTTCAGGCAGAAGCTGTCAGCTCTCCTTGTCCTGCATGAGAATGAAGGGCCTTGAGTGAGTCCGCCCTTCTTGGGGCTGAGTGTTAGGAAGGGCAAGGCTACAGAAGGAATCCTGGTCTTGGGAGGCCCAGGTCTTGGGAGGCCCAGGTCTTGGGAGGCCCAGGTCTTTGTCTCTCAGTTGCTTGAGTCTGGTGTTTTGAAGCCTCTCTCTAGCTAGAGATAATACTAATATCCCACAGTGGCAGCTTTTTGCAGGGCATTAGAAAAATGGGGACTTTCTCTCCCAATAACAATGAGAATTTATTCTGAGGCTTTGTGATAAGAAATGAGAAAGAAAATCATTCCTAGAGGCAAGAGGAGCAGAAAACCATCTCAACAAAAGGCACAGACTTCTCATTATGCATGATCTTTCAATACACATTTCCACAAGCCCATTCTTCGGTTTAAAAAGAAGGGCTCTTAAGTCTCCCATAATCTCTGCTGTCTCTTGCTTGAGGAAGGAAAACTGACCCAGAGAAACTGCTGGAGAATTGCTTTACTTTCTTCTCCAGCAGCCTCACCCTGTTGCAGTCCTGCTGCATGTCGTGATGCTGTGTTTACCGGAGACCAACCATCAGGGGTGGCAGTGAATGAGAAAGGCAGAGTCCCTCTGAAGAGCAATGTCACTGCTTTAATAACTGTCTCTCCCACCTCTCCCCAGGGCATCAAGACAGATGTCCTGAGTAGCAATGCTATGGAGTGTGATGTTCTAGTGAGTGTCTTGGTGACCTCTGGGTAAATACAAATGCTCCTTCCAGGAGAGAGTTGTGAAGACAGAGCCTCAAGGCTCTGGAGACAAGTTTCAGTGCATCCCTCTTCCCCCTTTATTAGTTCAAAAACAAACAAAACTTCAACCTCTTGGGTGCGGCATTTAATTCACAGAGAAAGACAAAAGCAGCAAGAATGACCTACATTCTGCAAGGCTTAGTGAAGAATCAACACCTATTTACAGAAAATGTGTTTGCATGGGGCTCTGGAAGTCTTGGCTATCCTAGGGAAGCAGAGTTACCAGATGAGGGGTGAGTCTGTGACATGAAAAGCCACTGAGCTTGGTGACTAAGTAGGCAGGTTCTGGACTATTCCTCAAACAACCCCATTCCACTGGGTGCTACTGGACAGTGTAAGGACCCTTCCTATGCCTCACAGGTGCATGGTGGTGACAAGAGTAGCTCTATCATGAAGCTTCTATACATAAAAGCAAACTAGCCCAGGGCCTGGCACTGGGGCCTCTGGTTACCTTGCTGTATCAAGGGCCCTGTGGTTGCCCCCAACACGTACTTAGAAAAGATCTTGATGTGTGTTCAGGACAACCCATCTGTTTGCCCCTTTCCTTTCCACACTTTCTGACTTTGGCCCATGGTTTCTCTCTTCCTTTCCCTCCTTCCCTCCTCAGGTGTCAGCACTTCTCTGTGAGCTGGAGCTTCTAGGGATGGTGCGGGGAGGGAAGCTCCCTGGGAGGCTTGCTGGGTAAGCCGTTTCATGGCCAGCACCTCCAGATGCTTCCAAGATGACCACTGACGGGCCCAGCCCATCCTCAGTCTTCTGATCTTGCTTTCCCTATAATGTACCTGTTGTATGATGCTCCTCCTGCACTGAAAATAAGCCCATCAAAATCCGATCCCACTATCTCCCTTATAGGTAGACTGAGATAGGCAGCCCCCTCTCTCAAACTCCCAGTTCTCCAAGCTGAAGACCTTCAGGCACCTTGTTTGTCTGACCTTCCTCTTGTCTCTCACTTTGCTAACTGGACCAAACCCTTATTCCTCAGGCATCTTAGGCACGCCCCTGCCGCTTCCCTCGGTGACTGGCATCAGCTTCTTCCCAGGCCTGTCTGCTCACATCAAAGCTTTGTCGCTGACTTCTCTGGAACCCAGGAGAGTGTCAAGGATCCCCTTCCTCCTTAAAAGCAGGTCAGTCTTTTATCCTGAGGTCAGTCATGTCCATAGAGAGTGACTGAAACTAAGCTTGTTTCCCTACCCTGTAGCCAAATGCAAGTCCTGGCCGCAGACTTAAGTTCATCTTCCTGTCTGCCCAACTCAGAAGCCTTCCACCTATCATTTCCAGTTTTGCTACCAGGCCAATTCCCTGTTCTTCAATGGAGCTAACTGAAAACTTTGTACCATGCCTAAGTACATGACCCGGGGTATGATGGATCTGGTCATCTGTAATGACCAGATGGGATTTCTCCTTAGTAAATGCCACCAAGACTCAGCTATGTGCAAACAGGCAGAACGATTTGGCTATGTTTACAATGACTTTGATTCATGCTTTCTTCTTCTAAATGATTTTGGCCAACAAACAACAAAGGGCTTACTGTCTTGGGTCTTTGAAAACCTTACTGTTTGAGGGAAAGGTCTCAATTGCTTTATGAAGTTGGTGTGTGTGTGTGTGTGTGTGTGTGTGTGTGTGTGTACTTGACGTTGACATGTGCTTTTTCTTTGTACTACAATGTTCTCCCTCCTGGCAACATGAAGAATGATGATTTCTTTTTGTGGAGCCTAATACATTGGTCTCCACTCAATGAATATTGTTACCTGACTCCCACTCCAAGCCTGAGGGACTCTAGATTCACAGAGGAATAGAACCTTACAGACTTTGGAGTATGACTGTAATTCTACTTGTGAAGCACCCGCTTCCCAGAGGAATAGCTAGTGATGGATGCCACTGTCAGAAACCCAGATGCACATACTCATACATCAGCCAGGAAATTATATAAACAGCTCGCCCAGCAGGCCGGAGCTGACTCACCCATCTGCTCCCCATGGGAAGAGAGGTGTCAGGAAACCCAAGGCAGCAGCAGGAAACAGACAAAGGAGGAGCTAGAGGATTGGATTTGCAGCCCCCTTGCCTTTTCCTTCATCATCCCTGCTGAGGGCAGCGGCAGCCGCAGGCTAGGGCTTGGGACTTGCAGTTACATTGCTGTGTGATCAGGATTACAGACAGCTGTTTGGAAACACTGCTCTGGAAGCATTCTGCCAGCCTGTTTGCAAGGTGTGCGTAAAGAGATACACACACACCTTTATCTTAGTATAGGAACAGAGCATGTCTACACTTTCCTTAGGAATGGATGCCACCTACCTAGGCTAAGCTCACACTATGACGTTTAGTCTCTTTGGAGAGAAGTCTATGTTGACTCCAGCAGGATGGGAGTAGAGGCTGAGGAATAAGGATGCTACAAGGGTGAAGAGCAGAGAGCAGTTCAGCAGGCCCACCAGTAGCTCACAAGCGGAGGGTGGTTTATCGATAACGGCAGGCCAAAGCATTGACATTCTTGACCACATAAAAGCCCATGGTGACTGGAGGGATGACCAATGTCCGGCCAGCTCGCAGGGGGCGGGGCTTCAGTTCTGGAAGGGTCCCATCATCCACCATCATTAAGGGCTGGCCATTGAGCTGCACTGACCTACAGCAGGGGAAATAGAGAATCCATTATCACATACTTGCATCTTTCATTAATTTCTTTGATAAGTTGACATGCAACTTGTTTAGAGTTCTGAAAAGGACAAAGGCAAGTCAACAGCTCCAATGTTTCAAGTCTGAGTAAGTTTCATACTTAATAGATGCTTCCACTGTAGCAACACAACAAAGTAGGTGGTAATGTGGTCATTTGTGACCACAACTCACCTCCCCTGCTCATTTTTATTCTTTCTGTATAACTGAACAGTTGCAGCTCATAGAAAGGGGACCACATTCATAGAAAACCGAGAAAAGACAAACATCTAGGCTGAATGGGAGGGAAACATCACTGGCTTAAGGAACAGAATCCCAGTAGCTCCCATGCATTCCTGACACTTGTGTCCTAGGTAGAAGTACAGGTTTATGGGTCAGTAGAAAAATCCAAAACAGGTTGCCATCTGAAAATAAGGTTGCAAGTCACTTTCAGAAAATCAATCAGCCTTGCATAGTGACAGCTGTCTTTGGTCCTTGTTCAACCTTCATGGTGACAATGCTGAATGATGTCATTTGAACTTTAAGGAGATCAAAACATTGTCAAGTGATATAGAGACCTCTTCTTGCTGTTCCTTCTGCATTACAAATGACCAACAAGTTTAGAGAGAGACAATTCGAGCCATGCCTGACAGAGCAGTGGATTCCCAGAGATAAACGTGCTGTAAATTGCTTCCAATGAAGAGCGGTCCCACATGGCAGACTTGGGCTGAGTAGCTCTATCAGAACAGAGGGAACAGCCCGCTCTCTTGCTGGAATGACTGAGGGGTGAATGAGCAAGCAGAGACTCCTGGTTGAACAGTCAAGCCTTTGAATGGTGTGGGGGTGGGAGAACGGACCCAAAGGTCCATTCATCAAGCATATTAAGAAGGGTTTGATTCCAAATGTCAGGATGCCTTTGTTTTCTCACTGTAAAGACAGTTTACTTATTGGAGTGGCAAGCCAGGTAAAGCAGGGTGAGGATCCAGACACAAAAGAAGTCTCAGACAGGTTGTATCTTTGTAGTCTATCTTCTTATTTTATTTCAAGTGGTGTGAGTATCCCCAACCAGATGTCCAATAACATAAATTAACTTTCTAAAGCATGTGTGAATGCCTATCACCTCTCTGCTTGCAAACCACAGTGCTCTCTCTTACACGTAGAATCAGGTTGCAAGGAATCAGGTAATCATTAGATGCAGACGCTGCTGGAGTACTGATGCTGCTGGGGTACTGATGCCTTTGGGTTCTGGGAAGTGCAGAACAAAGTGTGATAAGTGATGTTCAACCATCTGGATTACTAACAAGTAGCTGTTCTGGAACAGCCCTTCCTCCTTGTGGGTTGCAGGGAGCATGGACAGGACCCTGGACTGAAATCTTGACTTTCAGGAACTGGGTCACTAACTCAGGACTTCGTCACTGTGGACTGCACCTCTGCTCCTGGCCATTCTAGGCTTCTCTGCGGAACTGACTTTCTCATAGCCTTTCTGCAGAGCCCTCCTCCGCCGTGGCTCCCACCACTGTTTCCTCTCTCTTTGGTTCCCTTCCATCTGGTTGCTGTTTCTTGTTGATGGGAACCTTCCCCTTCATACCTGTCACTCAGACCCAGGGTTCCATGCTTTGGTCCTGGACTCTGCTTAGGCCATGTGCTCCTTTTAGGGTGTGTCTCCCACACCCATGACTTTAGCTGCTATTCCTATGTCCTTGCTTCCTGAGGCTGTTATCTCTGCTTCAGGCCCTTCTCCTGGACTTGTATGTGTACTTAGCAGCCCACAGAAGATTCCAAGTCACGTGGTCCAGTTCTAGCTCTGTCTGTATCTGCTTTTAAAAGCACCTGTGACAGCACTGCCACTTACCCAGTCACACGAGCTAGAAAGCCGGGGTCTCCCGAGACTTCTACCCCAACCCCCACAGTCAGGGTCACAAAGTCACACCCATTCTGTCTTTAATGTTTGCCAAGTCTGCTGATTTTAGCCTTCATCCCTACCTCTGTGGTTCAATACCTGCCTCCTAGCCTGTCTCTGTGCCACCTCCTTACAGATGATCTGTTGTCATGGCACTGCCTGGCACCTTCCATCTCTCCCCTGTGATGGTGACTCCAGTGACTTCTCCAGTCTCAGTCCCATGCTCTCTATGCTTCAGTCCAGCTGTAGTCCCCAGGGGCAGGTGTGTGTGTGTGTGTGTGTATGTGTGTGTGTGTGTGTGTGTGTATGTGTGTGTAAGCCATCAGCACATACATATGCAAAGATGGTTTTAAAATTTAAAAACTACCTTGCACATAGATAGAACAAGTTTCTTCAAAGGAAAATATTAAACAGATGTACAGTAGGATTAAAATATTTCAGGGATGTGATTGTGATTAGTAAAACACAGGTTCACTTAAAGCTGTCGTAAAGCTCTTCCTGTGAGTGACCTGAGGTGACCTGTGAAGATGGCTCGTTACTCTCTTGACCCTGAAAACCCTGCAAAACCATGCAAGTCAAGATGTTCAAGTCTTTGGGTTCACTTTAAGAATACCCGTGAAACTGCCCAGGCCATCAAGGGTATGCATATCCAAAAAGGCACCCAATACCTGAAAGATGTCACTTTGAAGAAGCAATGTGTGCCATTCCGGTGGTACAATGGTGGAGTTGGCAGATGCACCCAGGCCAAACAGTGGGGCTGGACACAGGGTCGGTGGCCAAAAAAGAGTGCTGAGTTTTTTGCTGCACATGCTTAAAAATGCAGAGACTAATGCTGAGCTTAAGGGTCTAGACGTAGATTCTCTGGCCATTGAACACATCCAGGTGAAGAAAACACCTAAAACGCGCCTACGAACTTAGATTAACCCGTACATTAGCTCCCCCTGCCATACTGAGATGATCCTCACTGAAAAGGAACAGATTGTTCCAAAGCCAGAAAAGCAGGTTGCACAGAAGAAAAAGATCTCAGAAGAAACTGAAGAAACAAAAACTTATGGCACGGGAATAAATTCAGCATAAAATAAATGCAGATAAAAGTAAATGTCTTCTGGTCTTGTATACAAGCATTGTTTCAGATCGCCTGTCAATCAGCCCTGTTGGGAGGGCTGCATATAACACTGGAAAGGCTTATTAAAGTGATATGGCAGTGTGGCAGACTGATGCTTTATTGAATTAGCGTTTCCTGGGGAACTGTTGTGTAAAAGACTAGGTGTAAGATCTTGGGTATATGATAAGTCTGCCTTTAGGGGGACAGAATTCATTACAATTGATCCTAATTAAGCCATAGTATTCTTAAAAATATTTTTGTGAGTGATTTGTTAGGGCAATATCCAAATGTCAAGCTATAGAAGTATTGTGAATTTTTTAAAGGAAGTTTTTAAAGTTATGTGTGTCAGTATTCCTCTTAGACATGTTTAACATCTTACTGATTTGGAAGGGGACCATGTCATTAAACTCTTCTGCCATCAGTGACATGGTGATCAGCTGTTTCAGTGACTTTTCCTGGCCTCTGAGGGCAGCCCAAGCAGGTGTGGCCACATGGTTTGTTTGTGTTTCCCCTGAGGCTGGAGAGAAGGGGTCAGCAGGAAAGACTGCACACTGTTCCTGCAGAGGCCCCAGATGGCTCTAACTCAAGCACTAGGACCTCTGATACCCTCTCCTTTCCTCTGGCGTGTATACACACGGGAGACAAATCTAAAGTTTTATGACTGACATTACAGGGAGTGTAAGGTATCTGGTATTGGCCTCCCATGCAGCTAGACTTGACTTAAATCTGTTGGAAATAGAAACTTAAGTCATATATTTGATGACAAACTTGGATTGGTTGCCTGTCTATACACATTTGTCTCCTGTGCACTCTTCATTAAAAAATCCACTTAGTATGGAAAAAGAAACTGTGTAAAATTATTATTTTGTGGGGAAAGACATTTTTACTGTTTTTTTAAAAAGATAACTGAAAATTTTAAGTTTTTTTAATTTATGTAACTGTATCTATATCTACGCTGTGTATGTGGGGGCTGCTCACAGAGGCTATAAGCGTCAGTGGAGTTGAAGTTATATCTGGCTGTAGGCTGCCTGACTTGGGTGCTAGGAACCAAACCTGGTCCTCTGGAAGAGCAGTAAGCATTATTAAATAGCGAGCCATCTCTGCAGCTCAGGAGAGAGCCCTTTATGACAAAGCTCGAGAAGGGAAGGCCTTTGTTCGCATTTTCAAGGATCGCCGCACTTGAAGATGCTGAGCATCTTCGCTCCGTGCAAATGAAGTGGCTTGTCCTGGTCCTTTGGGGAGATGATGCCTCTACTTAGCAGGCAGCCTCCAGTTCTGCACTCTCAGCTGAGCTGCAGGAGTCTTGCGGTCTGCTTTGGTGTTGGTTGCTCCGGGCAACCTTCCCTAAGTCTTGGGGTGGGCTCTCTTAGAATCTGCCCTCCTTTCTCTGTGGTATAAGGATCTGCTGCATTGTCACCTTGTCCCTCACTGGGCTGTGAAAACACAGTACACAAAGGCATGAGGCAGGGAGTAAACAGCTTTGGAATAAGTGAATGGTCTTTGAGCACCTTTGCATAATTTCCAGGCTTCCTCCATTAGTTTTTCTGCTCTTGAGAGGCCCCTTGGATGTTTGCAGAGTGCCTCTGCAGATTCTATTAACTAGCAATTACTCTGCCCCTCAGTGGAGATGTTAGATAAGATCTGAATTATCACTGATTCTCAGTCACTCCCCAGACACCTTATTCCCACCTGACAGGAGGCCACTGATCATTGTTGGTGTTTTTCATCTAAAAGAAAGAGAGAGAGAGAGAGAGAGAGAGAGAGAGAGAGAGAGAGAGAGAGAGAGAGAGAGAGAGAGAGATCTATAAGGCCATCTCTTAGCTAGGCTGGCATGAGTTACTTCTGTGAGTAAGGCTGTCTGAGACCTTGAGTCCCCACTTGTCCTTATCTTTGAATCCCTTCATTTAAAGAGGGGCAGCATGCTTTATCACACTTCTGTCCTCTTCCTTCTGCAGAAACATCACGGATT